TACTACTCTTCCTTGAGTTAATCAAGGAGGGTGTTTGAGGCCATCAGCCTCAAGAAGATGCCATCTGTCTGGGCTGCCTTCTGTCCCAGCGGAAGAGTCCAGGCTGCTAACGGCAGAACACGCAGCTCAGTGCCCCTGGCAGCAGGACCGCCTGTCAAGGAGCCTTCGCCCACGTAACAGAACAGGCAGGCCAAGCCCGTGGTGCCACAGACGAGAACGGCTGGGGTTTCTGGCCTCCACCAAAATGACTTAGCCAGCACAAGGGACAAGCAGCACTTCTAAACAAAACTGCCGGGCTCCTGAGGCAGACAGAACGAGCCAGGCCATTAAACACAGTCAGGGGAACCAACAGAAGAGCGGGAGGCGAGACCCGCCAAGGAGCAAGGATGACAAGGAACACTGCCTGCCGGTTTTGGCTCTCTCACACATCCTTCCCTTGCGGAGGGGGCAGGGATCTGAAGATTTAGCCAAAGCTAAACACAAAATAGGAAGAATGAGATTCGGTGGTCCACCCACGTTCACAGCAGCGCTCTTCACAGAAGCTAAAGCCTGGGCGCCACCCGGAAGTCCACTGCCAGACGCCGACGACGTGGTGCCTCCAAGCAGTGGGATGCCACTTGGCCTTCAAGAGGAAGGACATTCTGACTCAGGCTGTCACATGGGTAGACCCGGGGGACAGCACATGGAGGGACAGGAGAGGACACGAAAAGACAAATCCTGGAAGGTTCTATTTATGTGAGGTCCCTCAAATGGCCAGATTCATAACCAGGAAACAGAATGGTGGGGGCCAGGGGCTAGGAGAGAGGGGAAGGGGAGTTAGGGTTGAGCGAGGAGTTTCAGATTTGCAAGATGAAAAAAATTCTGGAAATGGACGGTGGGGACAGCTGCACAGCATTACGGATGTATTTAATACCACTGAACTGTACACTTAAAAATGGTTGAGGTGACACATTTTGTGTGTATGTTACACAGTAAAAAAAAACTGGAGGAGCGTCTCACTGGCTCACTCAGTGGAGCCTGGGGCTCTTGATCTCAGGGTTGTGAGTTCAAGCCCCACACTGGGTGTGGAGCCTACTTAAAGTTAAAAAAAAAATTGGAAAGAAATAAAAATTTAAGGGGCGCCTGGGTGGCTCAGTCTGCTAAGCATCTGCCTTCAGCTCAGGTCATGATCCCAGAGTCCTGGCACCAAGCCCCACACTGGGCTCCCTGCTCAGCAGGGAGCCTGTTTTTCCCTTTCCACCTGCCCCCCATCCCCACTTGTGCTCTCTCAAATAAATAAGGAAATCTTTAAAATATAAGTAAATAAAAATAAAAATTTAAAAATAAACAGCCATATTTGTGCTTTGGCTCTCCCCTCAAGCGGCTGTTCACCCCACTAGCCAGTCTGTGGTCCTGGCTGTGGCAGGGAAATGCCCCTTGAGGCCTTGGCTCCCTGGCCCAGGTAGCACCTCCCTGAAACCATTACCACCCTGTGCCACATGGGGAGGGACTCGGCTCCGGAAGCAGCCTGTCTGAGGCACATGTGGGTTGGGGCGATGGTGAGAGGAACAGGCCTGGGCTGGAACCTGCTGTGTGGCCGGGTAAGCCGAGATCCACATGCCCCAACTCAGGTGCATTCAACAGGGCAAGATTCACTGGGCGGGTGGCCGTGATGCGCCTGAATGCCCAAGAGCTGACCTCGGGGCATAGTGGGACCAGCCCGGGAGTGGGGAGGCCACCTCGCTCACCTGCAGGCATACTCCACTGTGTAAATGGCTCCCTGGCTCTGCTCCTCCCACCGCTGCATGTCGGCCTGTGGGGGATGGGAAGCTGTTAACAAGAGGGCTCCCACCTCCATCCTCCTAGTTCTCTGGGATGGAGCGCCTGATCACCCATCGCCATGGCCACAGAGACCAGCCCCCTCCATCCCCATCTTTCCTCCTACAGATCCCCTGCCCCACCAGTCTGGGCTTTCTGTGAACACCTGGCTACCGTGCTTCGGGGCCTTTGCTCTGGCTGTTCCCTCTGCCCAGCACAGCTTTCCCTCGGGTCCACGTGCAGCTGCCTCCTCCCTTCTCACCACACAGGTCACAACTAATGCACATCCTGCTGCCCCCTTCTTCCAAGTCTGTCTACCCAAGGCCCCAACCTGTCTCAGTGACCCTATATGCCTCCTTGCCAGTGTCCCAGCCTTGACTCCGCCCCCAACAGCCCCTGCTCCACAGAGCAGGTCTCGGCTCATGACATGAGGACTCTCAGGAAGCACAGGGGCAGGAACAACTGGGGCTCACCTTATGCTGGGCCAGCTCGGGCAGAGAGCGGCGCACATGCTCCTGCAGCCGGTATAGGGCCACGGACGGCTCGTTGGCCAGGACATAGACGCTCTCAGTGAACTTGTCTGTGACTGGATCGGGAATCAGCAGTTGGGGGTCGGAGTTGGCGGGGCAGGGAGGGGTGGTGGTGGCGGAACAAGGGGAAGGGTAGGCAGACACAAGGAGACAAAGCATAAGACTCTTGACTGCTTAATCCATGATTCCAGCTAGAGCAGGGACTGTCCAGGAGCTGGGTCACCTGTGGCCCCAGGGATAGGTGGAAGGAGATGGTCACAAAACGGCCTCAATTAATCATGATGCTAACACATCCAGGGCACTCACGATCTTTCCCCTCCCAAGCCTGCTTCTGTCCACTTGGAGCCCCTCACATTCCTTTTATCTCAAGGAATGAATCTGAGATTCTTCTTCGGAGGAACCACCAGTTACTGCATCTGAAAATGCCTGGATGCTCAGATCCCTGGATGGCCTTCAGTCATGACTAACCATGAAAGGGTATTAAATCATGCCCCATGCCTTCTGTTGGGACAATGTATAACTCATCCTTCTGAGTTTTCCTGAAGGATCAGGCTGAGAATTTTACCTGACAGCACTCCTTGCTCAGCTTCCTCCTTATCCTGTTTCCCCCTTCCCTCATCCCTTCTTACACTACACCGTGCCCACTGGTCTGGGGATGGCCACCTCCCACCTGGATACCAGGTTCAGTCAGCTCCTCCCTCGTCTCCTGGTTCCCCCTCTGCCAACAATCTGATCTCCACACAACAGATGGAGTGAGCATCTAATGAACATATCAAGTATGTCCCTCCCTTGTCTGAAATCCTCCCATGGCTCCCATCTGCCACAGCATAAAATCACCTAATTTACTATGATCCATAAGGCTCTGTATATTCTGCCTGCTGTTGACCTCCCTGCCCTCCCCACCCTCTACCCATGGCACAATGGCCTCCCAGCTGTTCCTTGAACACTGCCAGGACTGTCCAAAAGAAACTTCAGAGATGACAGAAAGGTTCTATAATCTGTAATTGTCCAATAATGTAGCCACTAGGCACATATGGCTACTGAGCACTTGAAATGTGGCTAATATGACTCACAAACTGAATCTTATTTTATTTTTTTACATTTTAATTCCAGTATAGATCACATACAGTTTTATATTAGTTTCAGATGTACTAATGCAGTGATTCAATGATTCTATACATTACTTGGTGCTCACCCTATGAAGTTTAAATTTTACCTAATTTCAGTTAAATTAAATACCCACAAATACTGTGCGACCAGGAGTTGCTGTACTGCTGCACAGCTCTGAACACTCTGCCACCTCGGCGCTTTTGCATCTGTTGTTCTGCCACTGAGTCGCCCTTCCCTCACTGGCCTCTTTTCACCCCTTCTGTCTCAGATCAAATGTCACCTTCTGGGCAAGGTCTTCCCTGATCAGCAAGCTTAATCTGATGTCCCTTCCACCTCATTCTCAACCTCAGCACCTTGCTCATTTTCTTACACTTAAATTCTCATTCTTTATTAGGTTATATGTTTACAAAAAAAAAAAAAATCAAAGCTTGGACTCTGGAGGGCAGGGGCTTCTCTGAGCCTCAGTTTCCTCATCTGTAAAATGGAGTGATAATAGCACCCACCTTGAGGTTTGTTACACAGATGGACCCCTTGCTATTGCCCAGTATAGTGCGGCAGATGAGCGAGAACCCTGATGGGGGATGAGGGGCGGAGTCAGGGAAGGCTCTGCACGAGTCTGGCCAGTGGCAGTCCGTCTAACTCACTACTGCGCCCTCAGAAGGGCACAGCCCATCCTGCCATCTCCAAACTGTGTGTACTCTCATCTTCCTAGTCCTCCTCGTTTTGAAAATGAGAACAGCTTACCCTTCGGTGTTCTTGCGAATGAAATGTACTTGTGCCTTCTAAATAATTAATTAGAAAACAAACGTGTGTAGGGGCGCCTGGGTGGCTCAATGGGGTAAGGCTCTGCCTTCGGCTGGGGTCATGATCCCAGGGTCGGGATCCAGCCCCGCATCCGGCTCTCTGCTCAGCGGGGAGCCTGCTTCCCCCTCTCTCTGCCTGCCTCTCTGCCTACTTGTGATCTCTCTCTGTCAAATAAATAAATAAAATCTTTATAAAAAAATAGTTTTTGGCACTTTGTAATTTGTAAACACGTGACTCACAAATATTTTAATGTAAACCTAGACAAAAGCGTAAATGCATTAGGGAATAATACGCACGACTGCCAAGTCCCAGGCGTTCTTCCAATGCATTACAAATACCAGCCCCTATGCGGGGCTGGGAGAGACTACTATACACCCCATTTTACAGATGACAAAACCGACGGACGGAGACTTTCTAAAGGTTTTAAAACTAGTCATCGGCCAAGCCAGGGTTCAATGGTAGTTCAATCAGTTCCCCCGCATGCTCCCTCCAAGCCACTGCCCCCTTCTTCCCTCTGTCGGGTCACCCTGCTGTCCAGCCCAGGGCTCCGCACCACCTTTCTTTCCCTTGAGCTGCATCTCCGGTTCCTCCATAGCTATCACGGACCGTTCCGAAGACCGGAAGCGGAAGTCCGGCGCTGTGGAAGTATACTTAAACCTCCCCCCCGCGAAACCAGAGGCTGTGCCACTCTAGTTCCGGTGTCAATTGGCCTGCCTTCTTCACTCCTCCCTGTAGCCAGGCTGCAAAGAAGCCGTGAGTGAGAGACTGCGGAAGGAGGCACACCGGTGGGCGGGTGAGGAAGGGGGCGGAGACCCCCTGAAGCTCCAGAAGGGACACCCAGACAGGGAGGGGCAAGGGTGCCCTCCCTTCCCGAATTCCCTTTTCCGGGAGCAGACGGATTGGGGAAACGCTCCAGACATTGCCCACTTCAGGCTGTGTAAACGGTCTTTCTGTATCCCTTCTGCTGCCATCAGATTCTTAGAAATGCTCGTAAGCCCCCAGGACGCAAAGAGCGCATTGTTGTGGACGGGTGCAACGGTGTGTCGCCCCTTTAAATCCCTGACGCCCCCGACTGCTCCCCGCCCACCGCCTTCCGACCGGAGAAAGCCCCACCCATCCGGCCTCAATTGGAGCCTAGCGGCCAGCTCCGGAAAAACCTGTGGGCGGAGCTGGGAAAGAGTGACGGAAGACAGGCGCAATGAAATCCTCGGAGCCCTCTGAGGCTCCACCCATCCCTCCTGACCCGGCCGGGCTCCCTCCGGAGTTGCCGGGGCAAGAACGCGCAAGCGCAACAGCACTGCTCGGGCCCCCCAGCGGAAACCACGCCCCTCCCTTAAGCCTTAAAGGGCCAGAAGCAGCTTCTGCTCTCGCCTTTAGGCACTTTTGGGGAGGCAGGGTGCGCAGGCGCAGTGGGGGAACTCTGGGGTGGGGGTAGCGGTCGTGTATCAAGTTGCTCCCTGTCCCGGCAGAAGAAACGGGGACGTTGAGGGTCCAGGCTCTAGCTTGCTCCCTCCTGTATCAGTTGGAGGAGAAAAGTTTGTGAATTGGGCCCCCAAGTTTTGGGGGACCCGGCCTTGCGGCGTGGGGTGACAGAGGAGGCTCGTTAGAGGTGAGTGGACCTCTTGGATCTGTTTGGGAGGGGCCGGTGGGGATGGGACCAATCACATCTTTGTTGAACGCTCACTCGTTCCGGGGACACCCCCCCCAAATAACTACAGGGAATGTCTATTAAGCTCTGCCCGTGTGTCAGGCCCCCAGCTTAGCTGTTTACAAGCATGGTTTTGACATCACTTCCCTATTTTTTTGAGGAAACTGAGGCTCAGATAAGTTAAATCATGTGCCCGGGCCTATAAGTGGAGGGATTTGGACCCAGAGAGTTGACCCCATTTTAAGTTAAGCATGTTATATGTGTCCTGGTTGGGGGTGGGGGTAGAGGAGTGGACCTGAAAGGAGTTTAGCCACCCTCGCTTTGCAAGGCTGGGTATGCTGTTGGTGCCTACTCAATAGGAGTTGTTGATAAGTATTGTTCTCTCCCCTTTTGGTGCTTCTTCCAGCTTCCCCCATGGAGCCCACCCAGCCTGCAGAAGACCTCGGTGTGACCCAGCAGCTTCCTATCCCCGAATTTGGGGACCCTGAAGATCCTGGGGATGAGGCCCCCGATGGCTCAGACACTGTGGTGCTCAGTCTTTTCCCCTGCACTCTGGAACCTGGGAATCCTGAACCGGACGCTGGTGCCTCCTCACCTCAGGGTAGGTGGGATATTTCCCCTGGACTCCTTCCATCTCTAGGATGCAAGGACTGTGGAATGTCAGGCCCCAGATAGGACCTCGGTCTTTGTGTTTCTCTACCTAGCATGTGTCTTCCCTCTCCACGCAGTGAGAGATTGCTTTTATATGTACATAGACACACACACATACATGAATATATATGTATATATGATGCTTAAATCCACGTAACATAAAAGTTACTATTTTAAGGAGACTTGCAAACAATTCAGTGGTAGTAAGTACTTTCACAATGTGGGTAACCCCCCCCCGTCTCTTGTTACAGACCATTTCCATCACCCCAAAAGGAAACCCTATTCCCATTAGTAGTCACCCTCCATCCCTCCTCCCCTACCTCCATCAACCACTAATCTATTTTCTGTCTCTAGGGACTTGCCTGTTCTGGATATTTCATATAAATGAGTCATACATGTCTTTTGTGTCTCACTTCTTTTGCTCAGCATTATGGTTTTCTGTTTTAAGTTTTGTTTATCTAATCTCTACCTGGGGCTCGAACCCATGAGCCCAAGATCAAGAGTCACGTGCTCCTCCAACCAAGCCAGCCAGGCAGCCCTCAGCTGATGGTTTTTGAGGTTCGTTTGCATTACAGCATGTCAGTGCTTCATTCCTTTTTCTGACCTGATAACAGTCTGTTCCAGACCACATTCTGTTTATCTGTTCACCCACTGATGGACACTAGGGTTGCTCCTCTTTGGCGATCGTGACTACTGTTGCTGTACACATTGGTGTACAAGTTTTTGTCTGAGCCGTTGATTTCAACTCTTAGGGGTAGATACCTAGAAGTGGAATTGCTGGGTCAGATGGTGATTCTGTTGACCCTGTAGACTTCTTTGGACTGGAATCCTTGAACACGTCGAATTCAGTACCTCTTGGGGCCTTGGTCCCTGCTTCTCACGCCTCTTGCCAGCCCTGGTTTCTTCAACTGACCAAGCTCTCCATTGGTATCCCCTCCTCGGAGTGGCCTTCCCTGACCACCTTGTCTAAAAGGGACTCACCCCCTGCCCTCCCCTCTTTCCGTTCTCTTCTACCTCTTTTTCATAGCTCCTGAACACCTATTTCTCTATTCTGTCCCCTCCTTGAGGGCAGGGACTGTCTCATCTGCCCAGAACATCACCAGGTGGAGAGGAGAAAGGCTCATCTGGGTATCCAGGAGGGCAGAGTGAGTGAACAGTGGTGTGAGGCACTGTCTTTGGTAGCTCCAGGCCCCCAAGGGTTTGTCTGAAGCCCCAGAGACATACTGAGGGGAACATACTGAGGGGAAACTGAGGCCCTTCCCCTCTGTTCCAGGCGGCAGCTCCCTGAAGCATTCCACAACCCTCACCAACCGGCAGCGGGGGAATGAGGTTTCTGCCCTGCCGGCCACCCTGGACTGTAAGTGGGCCTGTAGTCCCTCAGCCTCCCTAAATAGTAGGAATAGTGGGGGCTGAGGGGAGCAACTTCGGGTAGGGTAAACAGAGGCACGGAGTGGGGACAGGATGGGTGAGGACTCTGCCTCTCTCTGGCCCCTAGCCCTGTCCATTCACCAGCTCGCAGCCCAGGGGGAGCTGAGCCAGCTGAAGGAACATCTGAGGAAAGGTGTGTGTCCACATGAGTCCACTGGTCTATACCTGTCTTGACCACATGTGCTGGGGTAGGCATGTGGGTACTGAAAGGACCTGAGTGTCCTCATGTGTAACTCCCACTCCCATCTGACCCCAGCCACCCGCCCTGTCCCTGCTCCCGCCACACTAGGGAGAGTGGGCAGGGGTGCATCCCAGTGGTACCACCCCCCTCCTGCCAGGCGACAACCTCATCAACAAGCCGGACGAGCATGGCTTCACCCCCCTCATCTGGGCCTCCGCCTTTGGAGAAATCGAGACTGTCCGCTTCTTGCTCGAGTGGGTGCGTCCCAGCCCAGCCCAGGCTTCCCAGAGACTGGAGGGTGGGCTGGGGTCCGAGTCTGCTGGTGCCCTGTCTGTAAGATGAGGCTGCGATAGGTACTCCAGGATTCCAGGGCATGCCCCCACCCATCCCATCACCACTCCCTCTGCTCCCCCCCACCACCACTGCAGGGTGCTGACCCCCACATCCTGGCCAAGGAGCGGGAAAGTGCCCTGTCACTGGCCAGCATGGGAGGCTACACAGACATCGTAGGGCTGCTACTCGAGCGTGATGTGGACATCAACATCTACGACTGGGTGAGGCACCGCCCACCAGCCCTGGGCACCTTGCAGGGTACCAGGCCTGTTCTAGGTGTTCAGAACACAAGACAGACCCATCCGTGACCTCGCAGAGCTCCTAGTTTGGGGGGAAGGAAGACAACACGTAAACAGTCAGCTGAATTACAGTAAATAACACTGTAATAACAGACACACAGGCAACTCCAAGAGCCCAGAGGTAGCCTATATAGCCAAGGGAAGTCAAGGAGGGCTTCCTGGAAGAAGGGGTATCTAAGCTGAGACCCAAAGGGAGGAATTAGACCAGGTGATGAGTAGGAGGAGGAACCACATTAAATTAGAGGGTTGGGGGTGTTGTGCAAAACTCGAAAAGACAGAATGTTGGTTACCCTTGCCCTTGACAGAATGGAGGGACACCACTGCTGTACGCCGTGCGTGGGAACCATGTGAAGTGCGTAGAAGCCTTGCTGGGTAAGTGGGAGTAACAGCTGGCCCCACAGGAATCCTGAGGTCCAGGGAGGGGTCCAAGCTGATTGAACAGCTCTTGGGATGGGTGGTCATGATCTGCTTTTCCCAGAGGATTGATTTGGGAACAGGAGATGGTGGGATAGTATGGGGGTCTGGCTGACCAGGTTGAACACCCATACCCTCTGTGCCTCAGGGACCCTGGAGGTGGGGATGCTGTTGGCCACATTCTTTGGAGAGCCCAGGTTTTCATCCAGGCCCACATGGGCAAACAGCAGGCCTGTGGCTGTACTGTGAGGGATCCCTGGACTTCCCAAGTCGCCATGCCCCCTTCTGGGCTCCCAGTACCCCCACCTTCTCATAGCACATGCTTTGCTTTGCAGCCCGAGGAGCTGATCTCACCACTGAGGCTGACTCTGGCTATACCCCAATGGATCTTGCCGTAGCCCTAGGATATCGGAAAGGTCAGCCTGAGACGTGGGGCGGTAACAGTTTGCTGTAGGCAGGGTGACCATCGAGGGGTACACAGGACATCTCTCTTAGATATGTCAGATGCTAGCAGTGAGAGCATTCATGTTAGCAAACATCTAGTGCCACTGTGTACCTGGCCTGGGCACGTGCAGGAGGCCGACATGGGTCAGCGACTGGGTTCATCGTGGGATACACACAGGTGCTGGGAGGCCCATAGGAAGCCCTGGCCCAGCCCCATGATAGGTGGGAGGCAGGGAGGGCTGCCTGGAGGCCTGATGGGAGGGAGGATGGTGTCCTGGCTGGAGGAACAGTACATGCAGAGGCCCGGCAGGATGAGAATATCAAGGAGGGGCTGGGCCACAAGGCATAGGCTCACTGAGGCCAGCCCTCTCCATGGCAGGAGGTGGGTGTGAGCAGGACCATAGGCAGACCCCAGTTTGATTTTCTACTTCCCCCTTCAGCTTCCCCATCTCCAAAATGGATAGAGCCTACCAGAACCAACCCCTTGGGGTCATGGAGGGATTCCTTTGAGATTTATCCCATTTGGGACAGAAATCATTCCTCATGGTCCTTCTCATCCTTTAGTAAAAGTCACAAGTCACCAATTTTGTTTGGTAAAGATTATTTTTATGACCCTAAAAAGCCTCCCAAAGTACATTTCTACAAACCATGGGGAAGTTGAGTTTCCTGGCTTGGGTGCCTCAGTTTTCCCAGCGGTACTCTGCGAAGAAGAGTGTGGATTTCCCCATGTATGAAGTAGATCCTCCATCCATGTCCCAGGGCTTGGAGATTCCCGTTTGTCCCCCGAGAGGCAGGTGCAGTTTTCACGGTGGGAAAATCCAGCTCATCCCCCAGGAAGTGTATAATTTGGCTGGTGCCTCTGCAGCCTCCATTGGACTCATGGCCCACATCTCCCCTGTCCTGTTTCCAGTGCAACAGGTTATCGAGAACCACATCCTCAAACTCTTCCAGAGCAACCTGGTGCCCGCAGATCCTGAGTGAAGACTGCCTGCTGGGCACTCAGATACTCAGGGAACAAAATAGTTGACCCAGAGCTGGGGAAACCCAGAACTGGCTTCAAAGGCAGCTCCTGGACGGACAGTGGGAGGGGATCCTTCCCAAGAGGAACCAATAAACCTTCTGTGTGCGTAACTTGAAGGGCTTTACTGTGCTTCCCCAGGGGCCTCCTGGAGGAGTCAGCTACCCAGGGGTCTCACACCCTCTCCCCCAGCACCCGCAGGTGGTAGATGACAACTCGGCCAAAAAAGTCCGTGGCGTCCTCAAGGGTCACCTTCAGCTGGTCCACCTCGGCAGCTGGCACAGGGAAGGTGTGAGCACAAGCAGTCAAGGGAGATAGGTAGCTCATCATTTCCCATCTGCCAGGCCCAGCTTAGACATGACCAATGTGCCGCGTGACCCAGCACATTCTGAGCCCCTCTGAAGCTCTCACACAGAACCAGCTCATTTTACAGTTGAAGTAGTGGAGGCCCAGAACCCACTTACTCAAGGTCATACACCAGGGTCCACAGCTTTCAGAGGCACAGACCACCCCCATACCCCCCACCTTGCCACCCCAGAGGCCCAGGCAGGATATCTGAAGGGAGTTGTTGTCCTCGGGATAGAAGTCCACAATCTTGCTAAGAGCCTCACTTCCCTGGGAACCTGCAGCAGAGAAAGGGGTAGGCTGTGAGGCTGGGGAGTCCCTCCCAAGCCCCCACCTTCCAGAACCTTCAAGTACCTTCCAGGTGGCCCCGGCGACTGGAGAATCCCCCCTGGAACTGGATCTGCAGCTGGGAGACACGGATGCGCTGGGGAAACTCTAGTATCACCCACTGGGAGGGGCCCTGGAAGGAGACAGGGAAACTGAGGCTCACAATCACTTGCTCAGAGCCCTGCTATTCCCGTCCCATTCACACAGTCTATGGTGGGGGCAGGGGGCGGGGAGCGTTGGCACACCTTTCCTCCTTGGCCAGCTTGACTCCCCAGCGGGAGTGCTCCTTAGTTCTCAAGTGCCTCTGAGTTCTCCCGTGAACCTGATTCACGGGAGGGGTGGAGGGCCCAGGAAGAGGTGCCTCACCTGGTCCGAGTTCCAGCACGTCTCCTCATTCTGGTCGAACAGATGCTTCTTTCCAAACTGCCGGGTGTCGCGATTCAGCACTGAACTCACCCTGGAGGCACCAGAATACCGGAGAAATGCGGGACTGAACGCGGCACCGAGGCCCCGCCCACTAAGGGGCCCGTCCCCTCCTCACCCCTCCAGCTTCCCCCGGCGGACCCAGCTCCGTCAACGCAGGACTCAAGGGCCACGCCCGCCGCTGCCCCAACCCTAGGTTCTCACCTGCTCACTGTCTCTGGACAAACCAAAGAGTGGGTCATCTCGACTCCACAAAGCCTCGCAGGTCTCAGAGCTGACTTCAGCCGGTGTGCGAATCCCGGCGCCAGCGCAGCCACGGCGGCACGACCTTCACACCCGATTCTGCAAGGGTTTCAAAGAAACTGCCAGTAACCCGAGGCCAGAGTTTCACAGCAGGGTTAAGGAAGGGAAACAGGTTTCCTGAGGGTTTCGGGAGGTTGCTCGGGCTCGGAGCCTCCGTTCCTCTGCCAACAGGTCGGAGAACCAAAAGGAGACCCGGAACCACGAGGACACCGCGCAGGCGCGATGTGATTCAGACCCGCCCAGCCTGCGCTCCCGGGGCAGGATGTAATCTGAGCCCCGCCCCTCCGTGCCCGCCTCTTAAAGGGTCACCATCCAGCGATCAAGTTTCCGTTGGAGCTGGAGGAAGAAGGCGGGCATCTAAAATATTGTGTGCCGAGTGTGTGGGGCTCGCAGTCTCTGGTGCCTGTGGGTATAGGGCACTGGTTTTGGAGTCTGAGAGACTTCCTATAATGATGTCTCCCCACCCGGTGAGGTCTCCCAAATCCATTCTGTAACTGCTAAGGCTGCCTCGCCCCTCACTGCCTCCCAGGGACGAAAGGAAGAGCCGAGAAAGAGACCACGATGTTGCCTGTACAGAGTCTTCATCAACCTCCCGTGTTCCAGATGGAACACAGGCTTAGCCTCCAAATCTTTCTTTCCAGTAAATACTACCTGGGACAGGCTTCATGGAGCGGGGCATGTGAAGTGGGTTTTGAAGGATGAACAGGGGTTTGCGAAACCAGATTGCACAAATGCTAAAGATTTGGCTCACTGATTCACTAAACGACTCGCTCCCTACTGCTCAGCTCTGTGCTGGGTGGTGCTGGGGACTGTGAAAGGCCTTGGTTCCAGCCCACCATCTGAGGGGCCCCCCGATTTGGGTAAGACACAGCTAGACACACTCACTCCCAGACTCATGTGGCCAGGGCTGAGCAAGAAGGAGAATAGGGCTGGGAGACCAGGGGTTCTACCTGGAGGGAGGGCTTTCTGGGAGAGGGGATATTGTGTCCGTACTTTAATGGGTGGGCAGGAATTTATCAGGGTAAGAAAAATGGGGTTAGATTTGTCCAGGCGGGAGAACAGCATAACTAAAGGCCCGGTTGGGTGAAAGACCATGATTTTAGATAAAATATATGGAGCAAGATCCTGGGCCTGAAGGTGTTTGGGAAAAGGCAGGACACTGTCCCTGCTGTATGAATGGAAGGTTCTGAGACAGATCAGCCATTGGCAGGAGGCTGCAGGTTCCTGGCTTTAGCTGAATGGTCTAGAATCCAGCCCCTTTCTTCAAGGGCTAGGGGAATGGTTCTCTTGGCATCCTGCTAGCATCGTCCCAAGCCCACTCCAGGAGAGGGGGCTGGCTGGGAAACTGGGGCACCAGCGAAGGGCCGCCCCATCAGCCCCTGCCTGCCAGGACTTCCTGCATTCAGTCATGGCCTGGTGCCATCTAGACCTGGCTCTCTTTGTCTCAGGGCTGGGGCCAGGACTGCGGGTGGCAGAATAGACCTCCTTACTCCCAGAGGAAGGTGGGAAGAGCATGGACCCTGGAGGGTCCAGATTTGGTTCGAATCCTGGGTGGGTCACTCACTCACTGGCCATGTGATCTTGGACAAGTATGTTGACCTCTCTGAGCCTCAATTTCCTCATCTGTAAAATGGAGGGAATTCTATTTATAGGACTGCTGGAGAATTCAGTGGATTCTATGGGCTGACACATAACAAAGTGGCCGGCCCATCCTGTTAAGAGCCCATCCTGTGTTTGACTTGAAGTCACATTCTGTCTCCATCTACTGGTTGATTAAACCTTCTGTACGGGTCCATATCACCTCCATTTTACAGCTGAGGATACAGCCAATATCTCCCAGGGAGGATATGCATGGCCCTAGGGCCCCGCACACCACTCTTGGTCTTGGCATGGAGCCACCTTGCCCATTGGGGTGAGGCCAGCTCAGTACCCTCTTCCCGCCTCCTCACCCCACTGGCGCCTGGGCATGAAAGAACCTCCTGTTTCTCCAGGGAATTAGCAGCTCTAAGCTCCCAGCAGGGCAGCCAAAAGTGGCCCATTCATTTGCCTGGTGCGAAGAAACTAGCCACTCCCTCCCTCCTCACCCAGAGGATGGGGCCGAGGAAGCTCTGGAAGAGCCAGGAGCTGCCACTCCAGTTCACTGAGGGAAACTGAGGCACAGAAAAGCAAAGTCATTTGGCTCAGGTCCTCCAGGGGGACCAGGATTCAAACCTGTCTGGCTCTGGAGGTCTTTTCCCCCTGGATTGGGTTTTGCGTTTGTCAAGGGAGGAAACAGGCTCAGAGAGGGTCAGGTATTTGCTGAAGTCACACAGCCAGTATGGGTCAGCAAGGTCTCTCTCTGGGGATACAGCCCCACCCGTTGCAAAAAAAAAACCAGGTCTAACTTCCCATGTGTTTGTCACAGCAGAGCTGGGTAGGGAAAGGTCTTCAGAAAGCTTTAAGCCTTGGTTTCCCCCTGGGGGATAAGTGTAATGATTGCTTCAAGGCCCCAGCCTAGACAGTCTGTGGGGGTGGGGGTGACGGTTCCCAGGCCAGCAGGCCCCAGTGGGGCAGGTCCAGGTGTGACTTATCTGCCAGGGTCTGCCTGGTCCCGACAAGGCCCACCTTAGAAGAGACAGATGCTCACTAGCTGCCAGCTGGACTTGTCAGTCCTGGCGAGGTGCGAGCCTGGGAGCCTGGGAGCCTGGGAGCCTGGAGAAGTGGAGGTGACAGTAGGAGTGGGTGGGGGTGGCTGGGTGTGTTGAATGGTAAGCACGAGTGGCTGGGCTCTGAGATGGATCTCGGGTGGACTATATGTCTCTGTGCAGGTACCGGGGGGCCCAGTGATTTTTGTTGGGTGCTGGCTGTCTGGAGGTGCACCCATGCGTATAAACAGGGTTAGAGGTGAGCGATGTGGGACAAGTGTGGGCTGTTGGTGGCTGCCGGCAAGGCAAAGGGGCAGTAGGTATGAACGGCGGCGCGTGTATTTGAGCGTGAAAGGGCTAGAGGTGTGGCTGGGATCGCAGCTATGAGTTTGCTTGTGTAACACACGTGACTTGCGTGTGACCAAATGAGGTCGTACATGGTTGGTGTGACATATATGTGGCCTTGTCTCATGTGGTTCTATATAACCCACCCGTGCTGTCACAGTGTGTCTGGGATGTGATGTGGGTTAAGGGTTTGTTGGTGACATTGTGTGACACATGTGAATGGGACTGCTTGTGTCAATTCTGTGTTACTTTGGGTATGTTAAGAAGCACTTTGGAGTACTGTCCACCCCTGAGAACCAGCTCTCCTGGAAGCTCCGACCTCCTGGCTCCTGCTCTTGCCCACTAGCCCCCTCCCCTGTTTCCTCCCCCAACTTTGCTCCAGGCCCTGGCCTGGGCCCCAGTGTGGGGGTACAGAGACGCACTCAGGGCTGGCGGGGGTGGCTCACCCAATCCCAGTGCAGGCCTATAAATAGTTCTTTGAGCCCAGCAGATTCCCAGGCAAGGTTGCCTCATTCAAGCCCCCAGCAACAGCCCGCCCCTCCCACCTCCCCTGGGCCGCAGGCCAGCCCCTCTAAGCTCAGTCCTGGCACTGGCCAGGGGGACATGGGGGTGGGGAGGAAGGGGTGTAGAGACATGGGGGCAGTCAGGGGCAAGGGTCAACTTGGCTCTGAGGCCATGAACCTAGGCTCCCACTTGGCCTATATCCATATTGTACAACCTTGCAGATGGTCCCACGCCTCTGAGACTCAGTTTCTCCAGCTGGAAAATGGGCAATAGCCCAACAGCAGCCCCCATCTTATGTGTTTACTTTCCACTTCATTCTCTCAGCAATCCAGTAAGACCGGGACTCTTATTAATTTTCCTTCTTTTAGATAAGGTAACCAAGGCACAGAAAGACAAAATGGCCGGCCCAGAGTCACTCTCTTCGGAGTGGAAAAGAGACGTTTTGAACTCTGAAGTTGTGGAGGCAAAGCTGCTTGGATCTCTTGCATGTGCACAATCACACCCAGACCCCCGACCGCCCACCCAAATGCTGCCACGATCACTCCATACACCAGCCTGTCAGCTGCAGACACTGATATCATCATGATCCCTGACCTCCATCTCTCCTCTGTGATGAGGACTGAACAGTAAGCGTACCTTCCCAGTGTGTCACTCTGACCCCTAGGGCCATTACTCGCCCACTCCTGGACCAGAAGACTGGGGCCACATGCACGAGACACGGACCCGTACCGATGCCTTGAGGCAACATTGCTCCCTGAGATTCTTCTTCAACCTTCACTCATTTCCATCCCCTCTTTGCTCTTTGGTAATATTGTCAAAACTATCTTGTCACCTATTTGTCTGTCCCCCCATCAGCACGCACACACACGTGGGACAGGGGGAATTTACCATTTTCAGGTGTACAATTCAGTAGCATTAGTTATATGTGCCTGATGGAGCAACGATCACCACTATCTTGTTCTAGAACACTTTCATCATCCCAAAAGGAAACTGGCACCCATTTGCAGTCATTCTCCATTGCCCCTCCCCCAACCCCTGGTAACCGCTAATCTACTTCCTGTCTCTGGATTTGTCTGTTCTAAACATTCCATATAAATTGAGCCATACTATGGTCTTTTGTGTCTGGTTTCTTTCACTCAGCATGCTTTCAAGATTCATCCATGATGTAGTGTGTAGCAGCGCTCCTTCCCTTTTTATGGCTGAATAATATTTCTTTGTAATGGATCTAGACTTCTTAAGGTGGAAGTCTTCCTGCAAAAACTTGCCCAAAGCAAAAGCATTCCTGTGATAACAGTATCTGCTCTTGCGCTATGCATGCCCACTGGATGAAGGAACGAATGAAAGAATGATACATTCAGGCTGCAGCTGATGGAAACAGCTGCGGGGTGTGACAAGCCTGGGCTCCAGCGCTGTGAGTCTCTCACCAGCTATGTGACCCAGGGATATTCCTATCCTCTCTGAGCCTGAGCTTCCTCTCTACACGGGAGATAAAACAGCAACTGTAGCCAAAACTGCTTCAAGTGTGAGCCCTGGAAAGTCAGGCAGAACAGGGTTGGAATCCCAGCTCTGCCCTTCCTCTCCGCGCTAAGGCGGGAGCTACTTCGTCTCCCTGGGGCTCAGTTTCCACATCTGTAAGATGGGACAGACCCCACTATGGGGAGTCTGGGAATATTTAATGTGATTCCTGGGGCACATGAGCGAATGGGCAGGAAATCAGACGCAGTCTTCCCCTGGGTGGGGTGTGAGGTGACAGAGGTGGGGAGGGGGCTTTAGGTAGGTGGAGCCCCGGCTCTCGCACAGCCGGAGGCCTCCGGCAGGCAGGGACGCATGCGCAGAGCAGCCCCGCGGCCCCTTTATAAGCGCTGAAGCGGCTCTGGGGCGAGCGGAGCGCAGGGCGCAGGGGCTGGACCCGGCGCGAGCAAGGCGAGCCGGAGCGTCCTTTGTGCCGCGCGACCGCCCCGGGATGCGTCCGAGCTAGGAGTCAGGTGGGGGGGTCCGTCGTGGGGAGGGGGCCGCGTTGGGGGAGAGGTCCTCTCGATTAGAGACAGCACGAGATTGGGGAGGGGGCCTGGGATCAGAGAGAAGCCCCCAGAAAAGGGGGGGCTGATAGGGGGGAGGGGAGACCCAGGTTGGGGAGAGAACGCAAACTGGGAGGGCGCTTGGGAATATTAGGGGGACTTGGATTTGGGGGTCAATCCCCGGCTTGTCCGGGGAATGCGGAGACAATCCCAAGGTGGGGAGGGGGCAGGACTGGGGGTGGGTCTCAGAAGTGGGGAGGGGACACTGGGAACCAAGGCTAAGGGAGGGCACCCTGACTTTAGAGAGAAGAAGGGGACACCCAGATGCTATATGGGGGCTCCAGAACTGGGCATCCTAGTGTCTGAGACGAGACACCCCAGGATTTTAAGTGGGGATTCCCAATTTGCAGATGAATGGAGGAATCCAGGCTGGACTGCAGCAGGGAGGGGGGCCCTCCAGATTAGCCTGAGTGTGATGAAAGGGGGTCTTATCTGAGTATGAACCGCCACAGGAAAGGGACACCCTACAGTCTCCCTCTCCTTTTGGCCCAGGTCCTGTCACAACATCCTGATTCAGGGAGGAGGCTCTGGGGGGCTCCTTCCCAAGGTGGTCCCTGTTGTTCCCTCAGATCTGGAGTTGGGGTGGTGTCCCTTCTCTCAGGGAGCACACTGGGTCTCCCAGGTGAATGCTAGGTGTGAGTCAACAAAAGCCCCCAGTTAGGATCCCCAGGACCCGTGAGGGGCACCCAGTCCCAAGAGGGGGGGCCGCTCCCAGCACCTCCACATCTGACCGTGTCCTCACAGAGAGACACAGACTCTTGCCTCACCCCTTTAGTTCAATCTGCCCACGGAGATGCTTGTGGAAGTCCTGGCTTGGTTTGGGGGCATAGGCACTAGAAAGTAGGGGACTGGGACCCCAGGCCCAGCCTAGGGAGGAGCGACCCCCATTTCTGTGCACGGGGCTTTGTTCCTCTCAGCAGCATTAATGGGAGACAGCCAGGATGAAGAGAGGGTTGGCGCTGGGCCCCAGCGGGGGATGTGGGGGAAGGGCAGAGAGGGAGGGGTGGGCAGATCGTGGGACCTCAGAACCCAGCACCTTCGCTGGCTCAGGGACATTCCCAGATGGAAGGTGCCCCCGCCCCAGGAGGTGGTGTGTGTGTGTGTGTGTGTGTGTGTGTGTGTGTGTGTGTGTGTCTACCCCATGCTGAGAGATGTTGTGTGCCCATGGAGGGTCTGGGGTCCTCTGTGACTCTAACGTGACTGAGATTGTGTCTTTGTCAGGAAACTTATGCCGGGGGCCACATCACCAGGTGGCAAAATGATGTGTGCCCACCAGTCACCAAGGCCACATTTATCCAGCCTGGTCTGTGCCAGGGGCTGGCATCACCATGTGTGAGTGTGTGTGAGGAACTGTGTCTGCTGGTATGGCCTCATCGAGGGGTTTATGTGGAGAGCCTGAGACTGTGGGTGTGTGTCTTTGTGCAGAAGACGTGCTGCCTGCCTTGTAAGTGCCCATATTGTCTCTCTTTGTTAATGTCACTGTGAATCCGAGTGTGCGCGTGTGTCTCCCAGGCTCTGAGTCTGGGGTATGTGGCTGCATGTACAGAAAAGGGGTCCTCTCCTTGTGATTGGTGGTGTGGACCCTGAGCATGGGGGTGTAAGATATGGTCTGTGTGCAGAGTTGGGGAGCTAATGGGGAGACATTGGGGTTCAGGTTCCCAAGGGGCAGCCTGAGATGGTTTATTGAGCCTGGCTTCCGTTCTCCTCTGAGGAGTTCCACGGTCATGGCCATGCTCACAAATATGCCCAGACTCCAGCTAGAAACACACATGTGCTCATGGCCCCTGCAGAGGGGCACTCGGACCCGCACACCCAGAGACCACAGTGGGTCTCCTATGCTCCATGCAGTGCACAGAGCGGCTGCAGACCCATGCACACATCCATACATCACAGGGCACAAGTTCATATCCTTGCCTGGACACAGCATCCCGATGTGCATCTAGGCACACACAAAAACGCCTGCTGGCAATCTCACCCACATTCAGTCCCCACTAAGACAGGAGGTGGGTATGAGGGAAGGATACACACACACACACACACACACACTCCTTCCGGGCCGCCCCTCCTCCAAGGCCCCACAGGCCCCTGTTTGCATATGCATGAGGCTTGTGCATTATTCATGAGGGGACGAGCCCCAGACAGCTGTGTAAATGCTCACCTCTGGCTGCTCTGGGGAGGAGGTATTTTAAGAGAAGAGGTGTGGGTGTGTGAGGGTGCAAGTGGAGGGAACAGAGTGCATCTGGGAGGGCATGTGTGCACGTGGGAGGGTGCACCTGAAACTGTCACTGTTTGGATCACCTCTGTACATTTGTGTGTGTACATGAGGCTTTGTATACAAAAAGCTGATTTTTAATTTGACATTTCTAGCACGTCACAAGTCTTAGCTTGTTCCATCCTCACCATAACCCTATGAGGTACATCCTGGGTGATACCCATTTTACAGTTGGGGAGACTGAGGATGATGAAGCAGCCTGTTTAAGGGGTCATACAATGTATGAAAAGTAGAGGCAGAGCTTTTTTTTTTTTTTTTTCCTACTTAATCTCTACACCCAGTGTGGGGCTTGAACTCATGACCCCAGATCAAGAGTCACATGCTCCTCCAACTGAACTAGCCAGGCACCCCTGGATGTAATCTGTGCTTTTAATCATACTCTGTGTGTGTGTGTGTGTGTGTGTGTGTGTGTGTGTGTATTCTCTGAACTCACCCCCTCCTAAAGCTGTCTTGGGGCAGGTGCAGCCCAGAGTCCTGCCCCACCCTCTAATACCTTGCCAGGCCTAGAACAGCCATCAGGGGACGTCAAACTTATTCAAGGTTCCAAGGTGGAGAAATGAGGACAGCCTGGAATGGAGAGAGAAGTTGCTGAGATTTACGGGTTGGTAGTTGGGAACACCATCCTGGGGTCTGGACTCTACCCTGCTGTGCAGCCTTAGGCAAACCGCTAGCCCTCTCTGGGCTGGAGGTGCTGCCAGAAGAAGGCAGGGAGACTAAGTGGCAGTGTCCCCTCTGGGCAATGTCCCCTCATTGCCGCCCCAGAGTTCAGCACCACGGATAGGTCCCTGGCTGGCCTCCCAGTAGGGCCTCTGGGATCTGGGAAAGGTCGTTGGGGATAGGACTAGCTGTCCTCCACAGCCCCCATTCTGGCTCTATCTACACTTCCTTTCTCCGGGCTATCCTTTTATTGGGGTAAGGTTGCAAAAGCTGGGTTTATAGAGTGTGCTCTAACTTGCCATCTGTCCCCACCTCCTGAGTCCCAGTGAGGGGAGTGGTACAGAGGGTTGGAACACATTGGGGAGGGACTACTACCCCAGGGTTTCTAGTCTCTGGAAGGATGTGAAACCCGGGAGGGCACTGCTGTGTCCCAGTGTCTGGTTTGGGCCTTATGGTTGGCACTCAGTAATTGCCCATTTTATGCCGGGAGGGCCACAACCCCTGGAGAAGGCCGGACCCACAACTGGAGTTTCTCTGTGGACCTAGGAGGCAGCTTCACTAGGCGGTATGAAGTCAGAAAGAGATTAGGGTGGGCAGGGGTGAGGCCCCTTCCTCCAGCTGGGACTTGGCAGCTTCTCAGAAATCCCAGAAACCAAGAATAGAATCTTGGCGACAACCAAATCCTGGAATTGAAGCTGAGAATCGTGTCAGTCAGCAAACCCAGATTAAAGGCTGGCATGAAGGCCAGCCTACTGCCAGGACTGGGGACCCCAGGCAGACTGGGACTGACTGCTGCCCTTTAGGAAACCCTAGTCTTATGGGTGAGGCCAACCTGAAAAATGAGATTTTGAACTTGGCTGTGTTAATGTCAATAATAATAATAACAACAGCTCAGGGGAGGCTGGTGGCTTAATTGGAAGAGCATGTGGCTTTTGATCTCATGGTCATGAGTTTGAGTCTCAGGTTGGGTGTAGAGATCACCTAAATAAATAATTTTTTTAAAATAATAATAACAGCAGCTCAAATTTACTCCTTCATGTGAAGCAGTTCTAGGCATTTTATTTATTTATGAGACAGAGAGAGCTAGTGAGTGCACAAGCAAGGGGAATGGCAGGGAGAGGGGAAGCAGGCTCCCCACAAAGCAGGGAACCAAATGTGTGGCCTGATTTCAGGACTCTGGGATCATGACCTGAGCTGAAGGCAGATGCTTAACTGACTGAGCCACCCAGATGCCCCAGTTCTGGACATTTTATATGTATCGACTGTGTTTATGCATCTGTTCCTTACAACTACCTGATGTTATCCCTGTCTAACCTACAAAGAAACCAAGGCACAGAGAAGCTAATCTGCTTTCTCTAGGTCACACAGCAAAGAACAGGCAGAGAGATAACCCCAGGTCTGATTCACTCCAGCGTGCATGCTTCTGACTGTGAGACTTGTTTGTTGGGATTCTGAAGTCAGCTGGTCTTGGGCTTAGATCCTGGATCAACCCTTGCTTGCTGACTGTGTGACCTTGAGTGACACACTAGCTGCTCTGAGCCCCAGTTTCCAGATGTGTAGAGTGGGGGGACTTGGTCCTTCCACACTGTCTGGGAAGGTTACACTCACTCCCATTCCACCTCTCTCTCCATCTTGTTCCAGGTCCAGGATGAGGGCCATGTCTATCTGGGCCTCAGGCCTCCTGATGTTCCAGATGCTGCTGTTTGTGGCTGGGGAACAGAGTGAGTGGGCTTGTGGGGTGGGAGAGGTTGGTTTCTGGGGTACTGACAAGATGGGGAAGCTTTTTAACTCTAGAGCCTTCTCCTGCTGGCTCTCTGGCTTGGTCTGGAGAATAAAATGAGAATAGATGAAAAAGGTCTTTGAACAGTCAAAAGCGAACAAGACACCTGAGAGGTTATTTTTAGTCATTGCCAGCGGAGGCTGGAGGTTCCTGCCTCTCACTGTTTTGCTGAGATGAGCTGGAGAGAGAGGGGAAAAAAAATGAGAATAATGTAGAGATTGATTAGTGATGCCTGCCATGGGTGGGATAATTGAAATAAGGTATGTGTGACTCTCCTTGGCATCTCCCCAGTGGTGGTTAAGCCCAGGCATTAGAAATGCCTCCTGATTTGTTCTGTAGTCTTAGGCAAGTACAAATGATGTGTCTGAGACTCAGTTTCCTCAACTCCCCTGAAACACAATGAGACATGGCTACCTCGGCCTATGGTTATGAAAATCAAATGAACTGATTGCTATGTATAGAGTGTCCATTATCTAGAAGGTACTCCACAAACACAAACATTTCCCTTCTCATGGCTCCCTCTTCCTTAACTTTTGGAGCAACTGTGACTCAGAGAAGGACAGTGACTTTCCCATGGCTGCACAGTGAGTCAGTGACAGAGAGTCAAACCCCTGGCAGCCAAGATCTGGTTTTGGAGTGGAGGCAGAACTATGAAGGGATCTGACCCTATTACACCTCTTCTGCTCACAGATCTGTGCACATCACAGATCCGCTGACTGTATTATGACGTTTTAGGCAACCTACTCTCTCTGGCTTCAGTCTCTCCATCCATAAAGTGAGGGAAATAACGTTCTCTGCTAGTCCTTGTCTTTGAGTCCTGTCCTCTTTCCACGTTCTCCACTCCAGGCACACAGGACGCCACTGCTGCTGCCTCTGCCACCATCAACAAGGGGCTCCACATGCAGAAAGTGGGGTCCGGGTTGGTTCGGGCCGCGCTGGCGGAGCTGGTAGCCTTGCCCTGTCTCTTCACCCTGCGGCCACGGCCAGGTACAGCCCGAGAAGCCCCTCGGATCAAGTGGACCAAGGTGCGGGCTGCATCGGGCCAGCGTCAGGACTTGCCCATCCTGGTGGCCAAGGACAACGTGGTTCGAGTGGCCAAGGGCTGGCAGGGACGCGTGTCCCTGCCTGCTTACCCACGGCGCCGGGCCAACGCGACGCTGCTACTGGGACCGCTGAGGGCCAGCGACTCTGGGCTCTACCGCTGCCAGGTGGTGAGGGGCATCGAGGATGAGCAGGACCTAGTGCCCCTGGAGGTGACAGGTCAGTTGAGGGCAGGGGAGAGGACAAGGCTGGGAGGGGGGCTGAGCCTGAAGCTCATCCACAGAATGTCACCTTAGAGATCACTCCTTGAACAATGATTCTCTTTCGAGTCTTCTGATAACGTCCCAAAGAAAATCTTCTCCAGGGGGTGCCTGGGTGGCTCTGTGGGTTAAAGCCTCTGCCTTCGGCTCAGGTCATGACCTCAGGGTCCTGGGATCGAGCCCCGCATCGGGCTCTCTGCTCAGCGGGGAGCCTGCTTCCTCCTCTCTCTCTCTCTCTGCCTGCCTCTCTGCCTGCTTGTGATCTCTGTCTGTTGAATAAATAAATAAAATCTTAAAAAAAAAAGAAAAAGAAAAAGAAAATCTTATCCAGGACTACCCTTTCTATCACACTTCTCTCTTAGCTAAGAGAGAGCAGCTTCTGGCTCAGTCTCTTGTGGACCATAGTATTTTATAGGCTTTTATAACTTTAAGTCCCTTCCATGGTTACCTACTTTCCATAAGACAGAGTATATTGACTTTCTATTTGAAATAGGAATACAGATTTGCTTTTACAATAAATTTATGTTTTTAATACAATAAAATAAATTTATGTTTTAAAGAGTGAGGTTTTCTTTCTAAAGTCAATTGAAAAAATATCTTAAGTAAATAACAAGTCCTCAAATACCTGTTTAACCCACTCCAGTATTAAATTTTTTCTGTTGAAATATCCTGTGCTTCTTTTCCTCACTGATCAAGGTGAACAAAACAAAAAAATTTCTTGATTATTAAAGCAAAGTCCTAGAACAGGGTGTGGCACAGTTGATGCGTAAAAAGGTAATTGACAAAGGACTCAGTGAATGCGTGTTGTGTGGAAAACATCCTGTGGATGCTTGCTGGGAAGTTGATTTCCCTTAACCTTTGTTGGCCATGGGCAAGTCCCTGCACCCCCAGTCTTCCCCCCCCAACAGTGTCTCACTGCATATTTTATGCGGTCAGCCAACTATTCCTTTTCCAAGGCCTTGCTGCTCAAAACTGATAAAGCTTGAAGGAAACTGGTAAATGAGGAAGGAAGTAAATTCCACCTCTGGGCTTGTTCAATCGATCCATTCAATGAAACATTTATTAAGCACCCACCATACGCTAGTCTGATGCTGGGGATAGAATCATAACTGAGATGCAGCTGTTGCCTTCCAGGGGCTCTGATAAAAGGGAATAAAATATTTCATTCCTTTGTTTTGCTCAGATATTTCTTTCATCCCTTAATCAGAATTTCAGTCACTGAGCCCATGTCACCTCCTCCAGGAAGTCTTCCATGATTCCATTTCCAGGCTGAGCAAGAAACACTTGATTTCCCATTGTCCTCTTCCATAGCTTCCTCTATCAATACATATATTTAATCCCTCCCCCTTTTTTTTTTAAGATTTTGTTTATTTATTTGACAGAGAGAGACAGAGTGGGAGAGGGAACACAAGCAGGGGGAGTGGGAGAGGGAGAGGCAGGCTTCCTGGCGAGCAGAGAGCCCGATGCGGGGCTCCATCCCAGGTCACTGGAATCATGACCTGAACCTAAGGCAGACGCTTAACAACTGAGCCACCCAGGCATCCCTTAAGATTTTATTTTTAAGTAATTTCCACACCCAGTGTGGAGCTTGAACTCACAACCTCGAGGTCGAGTTGCCTGCTCAACCAGCTGAGCCAGCCAGGTGCCAGGATGTACTTATTTCTTAAAAGGCAGAATTTCTCGCACTCTTCTCCATGCCTCCTGTCACTCCCAGGGTCTAAACCTGGCCATGGAGAGTGCTATCTTTGAAGCCAGACCATCCCGGCTAGGAATTTTGGCTGTGCCTCACACGGGCTGTGTGGAACTGGACATGTCCCTCAGTCTCTCTTAGCCTCAGTTTTCTTTTCTGGAAATGGGGCGAATCATAGTGTTATTATAAGATTTCAATGAAAAAAGCTTATAAATGCTTATTACATGGTAAACCTTTGACAAACTGTAGCCCTTTAGGGCCATTTTTATCAGTTTCCCTATCTAAAAATGGGGACATATCAATCTGGCATGGTACAGGGCACTATAGGGGGGCAGGTCTCTTATTATCAAACCAGGGGAAGGGGCATTCTGCAAGAGGGAGGTCTGTTCTTGAAGATCCCAGCATAAATCAGCCCCTATCCTGGATGTTCTCCCACAGGTGTTGTGTTCCACTACCGGGCAGCTCAGGATCGCTATGCACTGACGTTCGCAGAGGCCCAGGAGGCCTGCCGTCTCAGCTCAGCCACCATTGCAGCCCCACGGCACCTACAGGCCGCCTTTGAAGATGGCTTTGACAACTGTGATGCCGGGTGGCTCTCTGACCGCACTGTTCGGTGAGGGGGCACACAGGGTCAGGGGACATGGAGACCTAGACCCTGGGGAAAGATGGTCATGGGGGAGCCCCAGGCTCACATATTTGACAGGGACCCCCTCCTTGTCTTGTCAGGTATCCCATCACCCAGTCCCGTCCTGGTTGCTATGGCGACCGTAGCAGCCTTCCAGGGGTGAGGAGCTATGGGAGGCGCGACCCACGGGAACTCTACGATGTGTATTGCTTTGCCCGTGAGCTGGGGGGTAAGTCTGGGGCTGGCAGGACACCCCCACCCCACTTCCTGGAGCCCTGGTTACCTCCCCAACCCCCATGCGTCCCTAAATCCTTGCCTAGCTAGCTCTCTTAAGTCTCATCCTTCTCTAAACCTGCAGCCAGTATCTGAACTCACCCTTTTCTGAGCTTTCCTACCCTCCCTCAGCCCCTCTCCTTCCCTGTGCCCCTTCCCTCTCTCTGAGACCCTGTCCCTTCTCTGAGCCTCTCCTTCTCCCTGGCCCTCTCCCTCTTCCTACCGTCCTTTTCCTCTCTGAGTGCTCCCTCGCCAAGCCCCTCCATTTGTCTGAAACCCAGCACACTCAAGGGCCTGAGTTACCCTGTTTGTAAAAAGAAGTTAAAGCCCTTCTCTTAGTACTGCATGAGAGGTAAAGACTTAGACGGGTCAGGGTGAGCACAGCTGTGGCTGTCCCTGCCTGGTTTAGCCATCACCCAAACCCGACCAGGCTGGGGTTTAGAGTGGGTCCCCCTTCCCGGGCTCTGGGAAAGGATCCTCCAGGCCCGCGTGACGTTGGCCCGCGCCTTCCCGCAGGCGAGGTCTTCTACGTGGGCCCGGCCCGCCGCCTGACACTGGCCGGCGCGCGTGCCCAGTGCCGCCGCCAGGGCGCCGTGCTAGCCTCGGTGGGACAACTGCACCTGGCCTGGCACGAGGGCCTGGACCAGTGCGACCCGGGCTGGCTGGCCGACGGCAGCGTGCGCTACCCGATCCAGACGCCGCGCCGGCGCTGCGGGGGCCCAGCCCCGGGCGTGCGCACGGTCTACCGTTTCGCCAACCGCACCGGCTTCCCGGCACCCGGAGAGCGCTTCGATGCCTACTGCTTCCGAGGTGCGTTTAAGGGCCCGCCCCGAGGTGACACAGCCAGGTCAAGACCACGCCCCTGGGAGTTTTGCCTTCTAGTGGAGGCGGAGCCCAGATGGAGGAGAGATCCTTGGAAATGAGCTCTGCCATGCGCCATGTCGGGGTGAAGATCTGACTGACCTTGACAGTGGGTCCTAGCCTGAACAGTGGGGGTGATAACTTCGCATCTTCCTCTCTCAGTCTGGGGGAATCTCAGAAACCACTCAAAAGTTTCAGACAGAGGGGCACAGAGAGACAGATACACAGGTCTGTGCCCCAGCATGCTGGAATGGGAGTAGATTTCTGGTAGAACTTCCCAGCCAGCCCCTGGACCTGACACCCTTTTTGGCTTTCTCCCACAGCTCATCACCCTACACCACATCAACACGGAGACCCAGAGACCCCCTCATCTGGGGATGAGGGGGAGATTCTGTCAGCAGAAGGGCCCCCAACCCAAGAACTGGAGCCCAGCATCGGGGAGGAGATGGTCACCCCCGACTTCCAGGAACCTGTAGTGTCCAGTGGGGAGGAAGAGCCTCTGATCCTGGCAAGGAAGCAGGAGTCTCGGGAGACCCCCAGCCCTACCTCTGGAGGCTTCACGCTGGCCTCAAGGCCCCCCCTGGAGACTGAAGAAGTGTGGCTGAGCACAGTGGCCCCCAGCCCTAGTGGTCCTAGCACTGCAGTGGGCACACACACGGAGGCCACTCCTACTGGCCCCATACCCAGGAGGAGGGGACGCTTTAAAGGGTTAAACGGGCGCCACTTCCAGCAGCAGGAACCCCAGCAAGGCCTGGAGATGGGGCTTGAGGACGGCACCCAGCCCCCGACCCCAGAGGCTGCTGGGAATCACGTGGAGCCTCTGCTGGCCACGGGAGCCACAGAAGCCTCAGGGAAGACCCAGAGCCAAAGCCCCTGGGCTGTGCTGACCAATGAAGTGGATGGGCCTGAAGCTGGTGAGTGGGGTTCAAGGGGGAGGTGGGACCTGCTGGGGGGCGGTCTGAGGGGGACGCAGGAAGAGGCTCCACATCCCAGCTGGGGCCCCGGCCTCACCAAGCCTCAGAAGCCCCCTCTTCCTTGGGCCAAGGGGACTCAACAGAAGGTACCACTGAGAGATAATTCGAATTACTCTTGTTAATATTGTTTCAGGTTTCCCTGGTGGCAGGAGCCCCCCAGACCCGTGGCTGTGGCCCCCAACTGCTGTACCACCTAGCATCCCAGCCCCCAGCAGTGTCCTTGGCCTGAAGCTAGAGGAAGCCAAGGGCCCCAGTGTGAGGCCAGCCATTCCTGACCTTCCCTGGTCCCCCTCAGAGGCCACTGCCCTGGCACCCAGCCCCTCAGAAGGCCCCAGCACTGCCTCCTGGGGGGTGTCCCCTATGGTCTCTTCCCCAGACTTCCCTGTCATGGCCATGCTTCGTGCCCCGAAACTGTGGCTACATTCACACCCTACGCCCCTCCCCACGCAGGCTGACAGGGTCAAGGGGCAGAGTGAGGTCATGGCCACTGGTCCACCCTCTCCTGCCTCAGAGACTGAGGCTGTCCCCCAGGACCCCATCCACCCAGAGGAGCATTCCCTGTCCCTCTCCTCAGTCCCGACAGGACAGAGTAGAGAGACCGCATCCCCGACAGTTGGTAGCCACCGAGCGGGACGTCCAGTAGCTTCTTCGCAGACAGCCACAGACACGCAAGTCGGAGCCAGTCCTGACCATCCCAGGACAGACTTTGGAGAAATGGGGGAGAGCCACCCTACTGGGTTCAGCAAAACTGAGCTCCCCAGATCCAATCCACAAGCTTCTGTGGACAGGAATGTGGCAGAAGATTTTTATCCTGCCAAGATAGCCACTGAGCCCACAGGAGTGAGAGACATCTCGGGGTCTGAGTCTGGGGTCTTCAGCACAGCGGAAAGCCCCAGTTCCAGTTCTCAGGCCATCATGGACGAGGCACAGGGCACGTGGCCCTCACTGCACACTGACGGGCAGGACTCCCGCTCCCCATCGGCGCCCTCAGGGGGCCCCAGAGTTGTCTTGATTCCTGGGGTCACCCCAAGTTCGGAGCCTTGGGCCCCTATAAATGAAGAAGCCATGTTGGAGCCCACAGATTCCACAACCACGCTGGATCCCAGTGATGCTGGTGGGATTTGGGAACCTGGATCCCACGTAGTTGAGGGAGCCAAAAGCCCTACCTTGAGCCCTCAAGTGGCTGTGGATTCAAGCATGGCGATGTCCCCCTGGTCCCTGGACCAGGGGGACAAGTTTGGGGTCCTGGCCATGTCCACAGTGGTCTCCTCAAGCTCCCAACCCCATCCAGAGCCAGAGGGACAGATGGTGACCCCGGGAACACCGGGAACCTTGGTCCCTTCACATGAGGGCAGCCCCCCAGAGGAGCTGATTTTTCCTTCTTGGGCACCAACGGCAGCCAGCGTGGACAAGCCTGTCTCAGTTTCCTCAGGAGCGCCTACAGTGCCGGGGGCCTCCCCCAGCACCCTTCTGCCTGCCTCCCTGGGCCCCGAGGAATTTGAGCTGGAGGTCCTGGCAGGGAGCCCAGGTGTGGAGGGCTTCTGGGAAGAGGCAGCGAGTGGAGAAGAGCTGACCCTGCCAGGGACCCCTGCAAATGGGAGTGCAGAGGAGGGTGAGTTCAAAGCTTGTGACCTCATCTAGCCCACTGTGGTCATGGCTGAGGGGCAAGAGGCCGGGGAGCTCAGCGCTGGGAAGGGAGGGTTATTCCAGGGGACCCAGCAAGGAGACTTGGCAGGAAGGGCTTTTTGTTCAAGTGGGAATTGCAAGTGGGATTCAGTGGTGCGGATCGTGCGGGTCCTTGAGCCGCAGGGAAAATGGGTACTGGGAAGAGGCGGAGGGGTGGGCATCACCCCCACTTTATAGAGATCAAAATAAGACTTAGGGAAGTATGTCTGCTTCCTAGTGAGTAGCCAGACTTCAGTCAGAGCCCGAGTCTGTGGAAGCCTTAACCTCTCTCTATCTGGGGGAGTCCAGAGAAAGTCAAATGCCCGGTTCTCCTGGGCCTAGTCGGCCCGCCAGCTCAGCTAGCAAATGCTGGCTTTTTTTTTTTCCTTTTTGGTTAATTGAGGTTTAAAAAAAAAGAAGCAGCAGCTAATTAAAAGACACTTTTTCTGAGTTGCAAAACACTCTTATTAACACAACTGGTTTTACACTTGCTCCTTTTTTTGAAGGCCAAGTGTGGCCGTGCTGCAAATAGCAGAGGCGGGGTTCCATCTTCCACCACCCCCCGCCCCGGTCACCCCTGGGTGGTGTCCAGGATGGCATTCCCTTTTCTTGGATTCCCAAGAGGCAAGTGGACTCTGGGCAGGGGCACAAGCCTCCGTAAGGGCTGAGGCTTATCGGCGCTTGTTGCTTGCTTGGCTTGTTCTGGGGTCTTTTTTTTTTTTTTAACCCTTTTTAGGATCAATTGATTTTTTTTTTTTAAAGATTTTATTTATTTATTTGACAGAGAGAGAGAGATCTCAAAGAGGCAGAGAAGCATGCCGGGGTGGGGGTGGGGATTAGGCTCCCTGCTGAGCAGAAAGCCTGATGTGGGGCTCGATCCCAGAACCCTGGGATCATGACCTGAGCCGAAGGCAGAGGCTTAACCCACTGAGCCACCCAAGCGCCCCTTGTTCTGAGGTCTTTACTGGAATCAGCTTGGTCCATCCTTATAATGGCCGTGTGGAACAAGTCCTAGCATGATCCACTTTACAGATGGAGAGACTGAGGCACAGGGAAGTCAGTCGCTTCAGCTGAATCATGCCGCTGAGGAGAGCGTAAATGCTAAGATTTTTTTTTTAAAGATTTTATTTATTTATTTGACAGAGAGAGATCACAAGTAGACAGAGAGGCAGGCAGAGAGAGAGAGAGAGAGGGAAGCAGGCTCCCTGCCGAGCAGAGAGCCCGATGCGGGACTCGATCCCAGGACCCTGAGATCATGACCTGAGCCGAAGGCAGCGGCTTAACCCACTGAGCCACCCAGGCGCCCAATGCTAAGATTTGAATGAAGGCCCATTGGACAACAGTGTGTCCCAGACACTAGGTCGCATGGTGCATATTTCATTGGTATCAGAAACAAACACCCGAGGTCTTGGGGAAGGGGTGAGGCCACTCAGGGAAGGAGCAGAGAAGAGACTGGTGGTGGGGAATAGGCAGATGGAAGGAGGCTTAAAGCCAGAGGAGCTAGAGAAGGGGTTGCTCAGAGAGGCAGGAGGGGAAAATCATGGGTAGGGGTGCTCAGGAAAGGGCTTTGGGTGGAGCCCTCAAGACTATAGTTGTGTCTGTCTTGGACTCACTGGGTTCTTGGCTCCAGACTGAAGCCAGTGGCAGCCTGGGTAGAGGGAGGCAGCCAACGCTGGGGGAGACCCAAGCGCCTACCCACCCGCCCGCTTGTAGCAGAAATGCTAATGAAGCCAAAAATAAACGCAGCACCAGTGAGCGACTGAGTCACCGCCAGCCCGTGGGTAGGTGTCGGCAGCTCGGGGCACCTGGCGGGGCTCACGCGTCCCAGCGCCTGGCAGCCCCATGCGTGTGCACACACGTGCTGGGATGGTAACAGGGACGGATCCATCCAGCCACAGGCCCCTCTGGCCAAACACGGGGGCACATGCCACCACCCCGAGGACTAGCATGGGTGTCTGTGAGTGACAGAAGGGCCAGCAGCTACTTGCATTCAGTTAACAAGCAATTAGTGAGTGCTGTATTTCAGGCCCCATCTGGAGACCAAGTCCCTTGTCCCCTGGAAGCTGACATTCTAGGGCAGCATTCTAGAACTTTAAAATGATAGAAATGTTCCAGAGCTGTGCTGTCTAACATGGTAGCAACCAGCCACGTGGGCTTACTGAGTCCTTGCAATGTGGTTCGTGTGACTGAGAAACTGTGTTTTTACTTTTATTCCATTTTAATTTGAACTTGAATAACTATATGTGGCCGCCATGTGGAGCATCAGTGCTCTGGGGGAAGACACAGACCAGTAATGATGACCCTAGTAAATAAGCAAATTATATGGGAGGTTAGAAAGTGATATGGGCAAAAGAGAAAAATAAAGCAAAGGGTGGGGTATTCCAGTGGGAGTTTTCTCACAGTGGAAAGGGGGAGTCAGAAAGACCTCTCCAACCACATGAAATCCGAACAAGCCGGAAGAGGGTGAGGCAAAAGCCATGCAGAGATTGAGAGGAAGAGCATTCCAGGTGGAGGGAATAAACTGGACAAAGGCAGACCCCTGCCTGGCATGTAGTAGGAACAGCAAGGCTAGTGTGTCTGGAACGGAATGAGCGAGGGGAAGAAAGGAGGAGGTGGGGCAGGGAGAGGTTGGGAAAAATCACACAGAGCCCTGTGGGCTGCAGTGAGGACTTTGGCTTTTCCTCTGAGGGTAATGGGGAGCCATGGAGGGACCTAGGCAGAGGAGGTGTGTGACCTGACTCAGGTTACATAGGCTCTCTCTGGCGACTATGGGGAGAGCAGCCTATGGAGGGTCACAGCAGAGATCAGACCAGGGAGGAAGCCAACTGGTTATTACCATCTCAGTTTCTTGGGAGGCCTTGGACCAGGAAAAACGGAAGCAAATTCTAGATTTTAGGGGCCAGAGAGAGGCCCTTAAACTTCCAGAACCTTGGAGGCCAGACTTGGTTCTCGTACTGTTCTGCTGTGTGACTTTAAGCCAGGCCCTGCTCTTCTCTGGGTGATGGCTCTAGTGTCTACAGTAGAAGATGAGAGGTTGGCCTGGGATAGGATGAGAATTCTTGCTCTGCCCCTACCAGGCCCAAGGGTGGAGACCACCCATCAAGGCATCTGGACCTCAGAGAGGCCAAGGGGAAACTCAGCTGCCTCCAGGAAACCCAGCTGATGGGGGGAAATGGTGGGCGAGGGAGACAAGGACGCATATTCCTCACTGCCCCGTGAGTGCTCAGTCCATACCGAGCAATGCTGAGACTCCTCAAGATGCCTCAGATTGATATAGACAGAGCCAGACAAGACATTATAGTTGTGACTGGGAGAGGGATGAATTGTTTTGATTTCTATCTTGTAGATGAGGCAACTGAAATTCAGAGAAGTAATTTGTCCAGGGTCCCTAGTGAGTGGCAGAGCCAAGGATTAAACTAACCTCTCTAGGGACGCCTGGGTGGCTCAGTTGGTTGGGCAGCTGCCTTCAGCTCGGGTCGTGATCCCGGCGTCCTGGGATCGAGTCCCGCGTTGGGCTCCTTGTTCTGTGGGGAGCCTGCTTCTCCCTCTGCCTCTGCCTGCCACTCTGTCTGCCTGTGCTCGCTCTCTCTCTCTCTCTCTCTCTCTGACAAATAAATAAATAAAATCTTTAAAAAAAAATAAATAAACTAACCTCTCTGATTCCAGAGCTCGTGGTTAGAACTACTATAATCCACCATCTCTCTGCAGTATAACCACTGAGGATGCATCAAAAAAGATTGAGCCACCAGAATGAGGGAGGTGATGATTCCCACTATTGCCAGTGCTGCTTATACCCCACTTAGAACCTTATGTCCACCTCTGTGCTCCAAACTGGGAGAATTACGATGACCATTAGGGCATTCCTTGAAGAGAGGGACAGGTCAGGGAGGCACTTAAACCCACATTCCAGGAGACTTCCAAAAAGAAGCTTCAGGAAGCCCATTCCTGTTCAGTCAGTGTGCATAAGCAGAGTGGCCCACTGATGCTCTGGGCAGTTCCTGAGGGGAGTAAGCTCCTCATCACAGGAGCATGCAAGAGGAGATCGGTAGCTGCCTTCTGGAAGTTATAGAGGGGACTCCCTGGAGAGGGTTTTTGGGGAGTCTTAGGTCTGGCTTCTGGGAGAGCAGGCAACATGGTGGCCTACCTCCTCTCCACACTGCCTGTCCATTCTGCAGCTGCCTTGGATCCGTGCGAGAACAACCCTTGCCTGCATGGGGGCACCTGTAAGGCCAACGGTACCATGTACGGTTGTAGCTGTGACCAGGGCTTCGCCGGGGAGAACTGTGAGATTGGTGAGTGCCCCAGACTCAGGATGGGAACCTAGACTTGTTTGAATCCGAGGCCTGGGGTCTACTCCAGCGGACATCCCCAGGAGGACTCAGGGATAAAAAAAGGCTGATTTCAGAAGCTCCCTTCCCCTCCCCATCTCCTCGGAGCCAATAAGTCAGCCCCAATTTGCTGAACCGGCACCAAACAGCTGAGCTCTTGTCCTGGGGACCAAGGCTCAGGTGTGCTGCCTCCCATTACTATCAGGCAGGGATGAGAGGGGAAGATAAACGATAAGGCTTGGACTCCTCCCAGATCCAAGGGGACTCTTCTGAGCCCGAAAGCTCAACACAGGAAATAGGAAAAGTTATGAAATTTTAACAACAAATATAAATGCTATCAGTCTTGACCTCTGCGCACTACCTCATTGACTTCACAACCACACTAATTACAGAATTATAACAATAAACATAAGCAGTGTGATTTCTTTTTTCTTTTTAAGATTTTATTTCTTTATTTGACAGACAGAGATCACAAGTAGGCAGAGAGAGAGAGGAAGGGAAGCAGGCTCCCTTGAGAGCCCGATGAGGGGCTCGATCCCAGGACCCTGAGACCATGACCTGAGCCTAAGGCAGAGGCTTAACCCACTGAGCCACCCAGGCGCCCCAGCAGTGTGATTTCTTGAACTCTTTTACCAACCCTCCACTTACAGTCACCCTTGAGAAGGTGCTCTTTTCATCACCACTTTGCAAAAATTAAAGAGTCCCAAGGAGGGGAAGTGACTTGCCCAAGGTATACAAATCCCGGGCACTGTCTACACAGGAGTTGTTAGGAGAGCTCAAATGATAGCTAGGTCCACCTACAAATAGCGTCCTGTCTCGGCGCGTGTCCTTGCAAATGCTCTGGATCTCGGTTTCCCTAAGTTCCACATTCTGGAAAGACCCTCCATCTTCGACATTCTGTGAGTCTGGTTGCCAGAGCATTACTTTCACTGTTCTGAAGTCCAGTGGAACATTCCACACTCCCTGGTCCTCAGCTGGTACAGTGGCATCTGCTCTCATTAATGCTAATTCATGTTAATTGCGTGGGGTTCCTCCCCTTGACTTCCAGAGTCCTTGGGCCAGCTGTGCAGACCACACCGTTGGTTCTCTCTGGCCCAGGACGGATGGTAGGATCATGACCTCATCTTCTGCCTGGTTCCTTGTGGGGCCTGGGAGCCAAGGGGAGGCCCACCTCTGACTCTGTCCCACCCCTCCAGATATTGATGACTGCGTCTCCAGCCCCTGTGAGAACGGAGGCACCTGCATTGATGAAGTGAACACATTCGTCTGCCTTTGCCTCCCCAGCTATGGGGGCAGCCTCTGCGAGAAAGGTGAGTTTCTCCCAAGACCCTGGAAATAGTACCAAGGAGTGGGTTTGATGGTTGGGCCATGCGTGCCCCTCCCGTGCTTTAGGTCTCCCTCTCTGCTTCTGTGGCTGTGGGTTGAACAGATGATCAGTTGTCGTTTGGGGATGAAACTCACATAACATAGAATTAACCTTAGAGTGTACAATTCAGTGGCATTCGGTACATTCACAATGTTGTGCAATGACCACCTCTAGCCATTTCCAAGACATTTTTGTCACCCTGAAAGGGAATCCTGTATCCATGAGCAGTCACTCCCCATCCTCCTCTCTCAGCCCCTGGCAGCCACTGATCTCCTTTCTGTCTCTATGGATTTGCCTGTTCTAGACGTTTCATATAAATGGAATCCCGCACTGTGTGTCATTTTGTGTCTGCTTCTTTCGCTCAGCATGTTTTCAAAATGTATCTACATTGTCGTGTGAATCAGGGCTCCATTCCTTTTTATGCCTGAGTAATATTCCATTGTAGGGATCAACCACATTCTCCTTATCTGTTCATCACTTAGTAGCTGTTTGGGTTGTTCCTCCCCTTGTGGTTAATGTGAAGAGTGCCACTGTGAGCATTCATGTGTAAGTTTTTGTTTAGACACCAGTTTCCTTTCCTCTCACCTCATTCTTTTTGGTTACACCTGGCTGGAATGGCTGGGTCACACGGCAATGCTGTGTTCAACGTTTGGAGGAACTGCTAGGCTGTTTCCCGCAGTGGCTGCCCCCATTTTACATTCCCACTGGCAATGTACGAGAGTGCCAGTTTCTCCACATCCTCGCCAACACTTGGTGTTTCCCTTTTTATTTTTTATTTATTTTTTAATTTTAGCCCTCCTAGTGGGTGTGAGGTGGTGTCCCATGATGATTCTGATTTGCATTTCCTAATGGCTAATGATGTTGAGCATCTTTTTATGTGTTTATTGGCCATTTGTGTAGCTCTTTGGGAAAAATATCTATCTGAGCCTTTTGGCAGGAGAGAAATTTTAGGACGTCCTGAGATCCATTTCCCGAGTTCCCTGGGGCCACACAGAGTGTGCGGGCCAATCAGGGAAGGAGACGTCAGAGTTGGGATGAGAGGGGTGGGTGTAAAGATCTCCAGTTGAATCTCTTCCTGCAACAGAGAAGTGAATATGGGAGGGGAGAGATGACCAGGGTGGAGGGAGGGTAGAGCCTCTGGGGGATGGGGACATGAAGAGGGGTGATCTGGCCCCACAGTAACCTTGGGTTTTGTCCTCTCTCTGGCTCACTGGCTGTGCTCATGGCCAGGAGGGCGGGGCTTGGCCCAAGGCCGGTCTCCCTCACACTCCCATCCCACCTCCCAGACACGGAGGGCTGTGACCACGGCTGGCACAAGTTCCAAGGCCACTGCTACCGCTATTTCGCCCATCGACGGGCGTGGGAGGACGCCGAGAGGGACTGCCGCCGCCGGGCTGGCCATCTGACCAGCATCCACTCACCTGAGGAACACAGCTTCATTAACAGTAGGGACGCTGGGGTGGGCAGGGTGGCCCTTGCAGTCCCTTTGCCAGGGCATCCCCTAGGGTCCTGAAGACACTACCTTTCTGAAGCTATGTGCATTCATGCCAGCCCTGACCCCTTGAATTCACGTGTCCGTTTATCCACTCGTCATTCCATTTATTCACTTCATTCATTCATTCACCAAAAATTTACTGAGTATGTGCTGGCACCGTTCCGGGCACTGGGACACAACGGTGAGTGAGACACAGATTGTCCTGTCTTCAGGGATTGACGTTCTTGCGGGGGCTATAGGCAAACAAGTAAATATCTAATTAAATAAGTCTATACTATAATTTAGCTGGTCCTGAGTGCACAAATGACAAAACAGAGCCAGGGGAAAGAGGGCAATGAAGAGGCATCTGTGATGTGGGGGTTGAAATGAGGATGGAGCTCTGCAGAAATCTAGAAGATGAGCCTTGCATCAATTAAATCTGGCATTTATTGATTTATTCATTATCCCCATGCCATTTGCTCATCCATCCAATTATTCACGTTTCCCCCCTCCCCTCCCCTGTTAATTCCTTCATTTGTTCATTCCCTGGTTCCCTCGTTGTTGTTGTTGTTGTTGTTGTTGTTTTCCCCTCCATCGTAATCAAACACACGCTTATCCTCTATGATAGTCAGTGACTAATGCCCTCACTCGCTCACCTGCCTGCCCTGTCCGACCCCACTGCTGGTTTTCCCATCCTTTACTCTCCTTTTCTACAAAGATCTGACGCGTCTCTGTTTATTCCTTCTTCTGGCTGTTTGTTTAAGCCACAGATCATGGCAAGACTGGAGCTTAATCCCGGCTTTTTTCATGCTTCCCTCCCCCTCCCACTCTCATCTGTGTGGGAAGCGAGGGAGCGGGAGCGAGCCCACACAGAGGCTGGGGGAAGGGCTGGGCTCCTCCCTTCCCACACCTTCCACCACTCCTCCAGCCCACATCCCAGGCTGGGGGAGGGGTGGGCACCCAGCCCTCAGGATGCCCCAACTCGCAGGCTTTGGGCGTGAAAACACGTGGATCGGCCTGAATGACAGGATCGTGGAGAGGGATTTCCAGTGGACGGACAACACGGGGCTGGTGAGTGGCAGGAGCCAGGTTTGGGTCTCCCTAGGACAGTGGGATGGGTAGGACCTACGTGGGCTCTGTGCTCTGGCCTGACTTTACCCTCTTGTGCAGATCCATCAGAGGTCCTTATAGCTCTGAGATTCTCAAGTTGGTTGGCAAAGGAGATTCAGCAAAGCCCCAGATAGCCCTTGACTTCCCAGCCCTGTAAACATCTGGTCTACCCAGTGGCTAAAGTTAGAAATCTAGGACCGGGGCCTGAGGCCTCCTCTTGCTCATGACCCTGTCCTCCAGCCATGGACTCTAAGATATTCCGACTGCCCTACAGCCTCCCTTATCACTCGCTGGGACCCCTCCAGCAGACCCCCCAACCCCATCCCCAACACACTCGCTACCTACACTCCTGCCCCTCCACCTGGCAGCCAGGAGAACTTTTTGAACAATTGTTGTGAAGTTCACATAACATAAAATTAATCATTTTAAAGCTTCCTTTTTTACATTTTTTTATTTAAGTCATCACACCCAATGGGGGGCTGGAACTCACGACCCGGAGAGCAAGCGTCACATGCTCTTCTGACTGAGCCAGCCAGCTGCCCCCCAAATCGATCATTTTTTAAACTGTGTATATCAGTGGTATTTAGTACCTTCACAGTGTTATGCAACCGTGACCTCGGTCTGGTTTGAGAATATTTTCATCGCCCCAAATGGAAAACCTATATACATGGGGACCTTCTAAAAATCACACATCAGATCATGATTCTCCCTGCTTCGAGTCTTCTCAGACTCTCTATTGTTCTCAAGACAAAAGGCCGCCTCTTCCTGCTATGGAAAACAGTCTGGCGGTCCCTTAAAAAGTTAAAGTCACACAGGATTACCACATGACCCAGAAACTTCACTCCTAGGGAGATACCCCAAAGAAGTGAAAGCAGGTACTCAAACAGACGTTTGGACCCTCATGTGCACAACAGTACTATTTACAATAGCCAAAAGATGGAAACAACCGAATGTCCATCAGTAGGTGAATGGGTGAACAAAATGCCGTCCATCCATATGATGAACACTGTTTGGATACTAAGCGAAGACGTGGTACAATGAGGATGAAACTTGAAAATATTATGCTTAATGAAACAAGCCAAGCATAAAAAGGCCACATATTGTATGACGTAGGATTCTATTTACGTGAAATATCTAAAACAGGCAAATTCGTAGAGACAGAACATAGATCAGTGGTTGCCTGGGGCTTAGGACAGGGCCAAATGGGGAGTGATTGTTAATAGGACAGAGTTTCTGTCTAAAGGGATGACAAAATCCTGGGGATAGATAGTGATGAGAGTTGTACAACGTTGTGAATCGTATTAATGCCAATGAAATGGACACTTAAAAATGGTTAAAATGGTAAATTTTATGTGATACGTAGTATACTCAGTTTAAAAGAATCCATCTCCTCTACTGGTGCAAAAACTGGCCCTTGGTCCCCTACTGACCACACCCCAACTCCATCTAACAGCTCCCGCCCACTGGCCTCCGTTCTGTTCCTCAAACAGGATAAGCTCTGTCCTGCCTCTGGGCCTTTGCACTAGCTCTTCTCTCTGCTTGGAATTCTGTTCCCTGCCATTTCTATCCTTGAGTCTTCAGCTATCCCCTTGCCTCCTCAGGGAATCCCTCTGGGACCTTTGTTCAGCTATTCATGTAACAGTGACCCATGTGGAAAACAGACTGTCAGGGAGAAAGGAAGGAGGTAGGAGGGCTGAGGAAGAGGGCACTGCCGCCTCTTGGCCAAAGGAGGGGTGACTCCGAGTACAGCAGAGGCCACTGTCAGGCAGAGTGGTGCCCATTGTGTACATCGAAACACTGAGTCCTTAAAGTTTGAATGGTCTGGCCAGGGGAGTCCTGCGCTAGGCAGTGAAAGAGCCTGAGTCCCTCTCTTTCCTATTCCCGCAGCAATATGAGAACTGGCGGGAGAACCAGCCTGACAATTTCTTCGCGGGCGGGGAGGATTGTGTGGTGATGGTTGCACATGAGAGCGGGCGCTGGAACGACGTTCCCTGCAACTACAACCTCCCCTACGTCTGTAAGAAGGGAACAGGTAGGCTGCTCCTCGCCCCACCGCTTCCCTCCTGCCTCTCACACTCACTGGTTCTTTGTTTTATTTCAGTTTTTGTAAGTGTAAGTCAGCCCTGCCCACTTTTCACTACAGCACTGTGTGAGAGTGACCGTTTTTTCCCACTTTGGCCAACTCTGTGTGTTCTCCAAATTTTGTTCTTTGTTCATGAGAGGGAAAAAAATAGTATCTACTTGTTATGGTCGTTTGCATGTCTTTAAGCATGAGAATAACCAGCTGTTCCTATGTCAATAAGCTATTTGTATGTGTTTATTTTTCTGGGAAAATAGTTCATCTCCTTTGCATAACTTTCTATAGGCATGTTGGTCTTATTGATTTGTAAGAGCTCTTTACATATTAAGAGAACACTTGGAAGCATTCTCATGTCCACCTACCTCTGATACTTTTGTTTATTCTTACCTGTGTTTCTTTGCCAGTTTTCGTGTCCTTTCTTCTTTTCATTTGCACAGGTTTATTCTTGTCTCCCACCTCCTTCTCTGCCATCATGCATAAGAACTGAGGAGGGTGGGATGTGTTCATGAGGTTTCTGTCCCTAAGGAGCTCCTGGTTTGGATAGAGGAGACAGACACAGTCACATCCAGCTGGAGAAGTCATAGCTGGGCAAAGGGCAGGATTTTGCTGACGGGTGTCTTATACCCCAAAAGAGAGGAAACCAGTTCAGCCCCAGATGTGGCCACTTCCCTAATTGGTGGTTCCTCTGTGTCCAGTGCTTTGTGGTCCCCCTCCGGCAGTGCAGAATGCCTCACCCATTGGTGCTCGCAAGACCAAGTATAATGTCCATGCCACTGTACGGTACCAGTGTGATGAAGGATTTACCCAGCACCATGTGGCCATAATTCGATGCCGGAGCAATGGCAAGTGGGACCAGCCCCAAATCGTCTGTACCAAACGTAAGTGGCTATCCCCAGACACCCCAACACAGGTTTCCAGCTATTTGTAGTCTCCAATCACAACATCTTATTACTACACATGTTGATCTGCCTGATAATACAGCCCTGCAGATAAGCGGGAACTTACCAGCCCGTCTGGTGTTTCCTTCATTTCTCCTCCACCTGGAAAGGCTCGCTGCATCAGGCCACCCTCCTCTCACCACCTCTTGCCACTTCCTTGTCCTTCCTCATTTCCCCACAGCCAGACGGTCCCATCGGATGCGGCGACACCATCACCACCACCAGCACCATCGCCAGCATCACCACCACAAATCGCGCAAAGAGCGCAGAAAACACAAGAAACACCCAGTGGAGGACTGGGAGAAGGAAGAAGGGAATTTCTGTTGAGAAACCAGGCAAAAGGAAGCACAACCCCCTTCCCACACCTTCTCTGGAGGCTTCACCTGGGGAGACAGAGCCCAGAGAAAAACAAGAGGGTCTGGAAGCCCCTGTGCCCCAAACCACATCCCGCCCCCATAACCCTTTGTAAAAAACTACTCTCTCCTCTTTCTTATATACACAAGGTCCACTTGGCAGGCAAAGCCAGGTATCTGAAAAGTCAGTTCTAGTCAGGCTGAACTCTGGGAGCATCTCCCAGTGGAGGGAAGCACAATCAGCAAAGATCATTCTTTGCACCGGTTAAGTCTTTTGTTGGCGAGGCTGATTACCGGTTGTTGAACTAAGGCTTTGATGAGGGTGCAAGGGTATATATTCGGATTCACACTAAGGAATGGCTTATCACACCAGACATGCAGGCTTAGTAAACCATCAGATGTCCTAAATGCGGGCTGGAGCTTTTAGTTAAGGTCGTTGGCTTTGGGAGTTGAAAGTTGAACTTGACAGCTGCTCTTCCTCCACCCTGGACTTCAGCCCAAGTTCCGTCTTTGGTCTTGGGGGATAAATGGAGTGTGGAACTCCAACATACTGAATTTTAGGACTGTTTTAGAACAACCTCCTCTGTGCCCTCAGAGTTAGGGGTCAGGATAGTCAGAGCAATATATGGGCAATGGAGGGAAGGTGTATTGCTTACCCTCCCAGGTCGAGTCCAATGCTGAGATTTGGTGGTTCTGTATGTGTGGTGAATCTCTCTCACACACACAGAAGAGAGGATGTTTAGGGCTTGATGAGCCCAGATTTCTTCCCCCTCCATCTCTCAGGGAGACAAAGAACCTCCTTCCTGGACCAAGGAGGTGCCAAGTTTTCTAGCTCAGTGCCCATACCCATCCCTCAAGAGACATCAGTAGTGCCCCTGCCCTGGGTCCCACTCCTATTCCTGCCCCATCCCTGTCTCCATTCATTGCCTGGCGGACTAGAAACGCTTAAAACTTGAAGTAGTGACATCTACCTGCAGTCATGTTGTAGAGAAATGCACAGTGTTAAAACCGAAACACACACACACACACACACACACACACACACATTTTTCTCTCATCGTTTAAAAAAATCTTTTAAGTGGGAAAGAACTGACTGAATCTGTTCCCCCAAATCTGCAACCTGTAAAAGAACTTTCCAGGCCAAAGGCCAGGATTCAGCTCTCTGATCTCTGGCAGGAAAACCCACACCTTATCCTCCATGTTTTGTCCGCTCTCAACTCCTCTACTCTGGGCAAAATCTGTGGATTTGTGCTAAAAACCACAGTGGAGAATGGTCCTCTGCAGGAAAGAAAAATAAGCAAACATATGGTCCAAGGGTTCCATAGAGAAAGAAACGTGTTCAGTGAACCTATATTCCTCCTGGGAAATAATACTGTGGAGTCGATACTGAGCTAAAGAGTCACACTCTCTCCTTGAATCTTCTCGACAGCCCGGTGATTTTGGAACCATTATTTCCCCATTTTATACATGACAAAACTGAGGCTCAGATAAGAAAAATGCACTGGTTTGAAGTCACAGCCAAGAAGGGAGCAAGGATTTGGTCCATCCACTGTGACTCCAAACACTGCCCTTTACTTTGGGGGAAAGGGTTGAAATGTAATCGCACTCTCTCACATACATGGCAGACTTAGGATAAGACTGAGAAGTGCAAACTAGACCCTTGTCCTTGACCATGGTTGTCAGTCTTCCCTGCTATAGACATTATCCACTGTTCCACCTTATAGTCATAGAGAAAGCCCAGGGATGTACATTTGCCTTCTTGCTTTGATAATTTTTTTGGTTTAAAAATATAATAACACATCTTCAGTAATTCATGTCATAAAATAATTTTCCTTTTGGGGGTGGTGCTGGGGATGCAACTTTTTTTTGGGGGGTGTCTTGGTTTATGCTCCCTGCCCTTGACCCCTTTAGTCCCTTGCTCTGCCCCCATCCCAGCTGTGTGGTGGGAGGGGGCTCTGGTCTTTTCTAAAGTGGGTGGTTTGTCTTTTAGTCTTTCCTTTTGGGATGTGCGTGTGTGTTTGCGTGTGCCGCGTGTGTGGCATGCGTGTGAGTGTGTGTGCGTGTGAACAGCTTCAGGTTCTGCTGGTTTTGCTGTGAGCTGCAGTGTTCTGTGGGTCTGTGGTATCTGACACTGTGGACATTAATGTACTTCTTGGACATTTTAATAAAATTTTTTAACAGTTCAACCTGCCTGTCACCTCCTGGGACCTTTCTTCATTTATTCACTCAGCAAGTACTTACTGAGCAACTGTTATGAGCCGTGTACTGTGCTGGGAGCTGGGGAGACAACGGTGAACAAGACAGACATGGCCCCTGGGAGCTGGTCAAGGAAGGCTTCCTAGAGGAGGTGAATGGAATCTAAAGGAGGAATAGTGTTTACTAGATGAGAAGAGGAAGAAAGGAAGACAATTTCAGGCAGAGGGAAGAGCAAAGGCAAACATCCTCTTGCAGAAAGGACATCGGTTATTTGAGAAACAGCGAGGAATCTACAGTGGCTGGAGCAGAGTGGTAGAGGTAAATAGTGGAAGGAAATGGGGTCAGAGATACAGAAGATGGACAACTCGGGACCATAGAGGCTATAGTGAGGAGTTTAGGTTTTATTTAAAAAGCAATAGTAGCAGGGGCGCCTGGATGGTTAAGTGTCTGCCTTCGGCTTGGGTTATGATCTTGGGGTCTTGGAATGGAGCCCCAAATTAGGCTCCTTGCTTGGGGAGGAGGGAGGAGCCTGCTTCTCCCTCTGCCTGCTGCTCTCCCTGCTTGTGCTCTCTCTGTCTGTCAAATAAATAAATTAAATATTAAAAAAAGAGATTGAAAAGAAAAAAACAACAGTGGCAAAAACAAAACAAAACAAAAAGCAAAGCAAAACAAAAAACAAAGTCAAAAGGCAAATGCCAAACTTGGGAAATTTTTCAAATCAGAGATAGAGGACTTGTCTTAATTCATAAAGAGCTCCTACAAACTAATGGGGAAAAAAACCCCTAATAATCCAATAGCCAAATAGGCAAAGTATATGAATAAAACGTTGACAGAAAAGAAAATACAGATGCTCTTAAACTACAACGTATACTCAACAGAATAATACACATTTTGCAAGGACACCAGGATGAACAAATAGCATATTTATTTTTTTAAAAAGATTTTATTTATTCATTTGACAGCGAGAGACACAGTGAGAAAGGGAACACAAGCAGGGGGAGTGGAAGAGGGAGAGGCAGGCTTCCCGCCAGGCAGGGGGCCCGATGCAGGGCTTGATCCCAGGACTCTGGGATTATGACCTGAGCTGAAGGCAGACGATTAATGACTGAGCCACCCAGGCGCCCCAAGAAGAGCATATATATTTTTTAATTTATTTGACAGACAGAAATCACAAGTAGGCAGAGAAGCAGGCAGAGAGAGAGAGAGGAGGAAGCAGGCTCTCTGCTGAGCAGAGAGCCAGATGCGGGGCTCGATCCCAGGACCCTGGGATCATGACCTGAGCTGAAGGCAGAGGCCCAACCCACTGAGCCACCCAGATGCCCCAGAAGAGCATATTTAAAAAGAGAATCAAATCTAACAAGAGAGGGGAATTGCATTGATCAACAATGACAACACACCCAAACTGTGAATGATTTATGACTTCCTCACCCACCTGCACCTAAGGTCAACGTGGGGGATGTTTGCTCAGGCTCACACATAATAAGAGAATTGCACGTGACAACCACAATGAGATTTTTTTTTAACCTATCAAGTTGGCTAAAGTAAAAAGTGTTAACACACGATGCTGATTAGGATGTGTGGAAAGAGGCAGGTACATCTATTACTGGTGGGGTCTAAATTGTCCCTGCCTCTAAGAAGAGCTGGAGAGCACTGTCAAAATGGCAAGTTTCACTCCTTGATTAAACAACTTCTAATGTCATCCCCCGATTATGCTAGAATTTGTGTGAGGTGAGGCGGGTACTTATTAGTAATAGCAAAATAGGGAAATCTAAACATCCGCCATTAGGAGACGGGCTACCAAATTATGGCGCATCCAAACAATGAATGCTCCGGCCGACCTTCAAAAGAATGTGGGGGTGGGGGATCTTGATATGGTGATTGAAACTATCTCCAAAATAAAATACTAAGTAAAAGGAGAGTGACTTGAAAAGTATACATGGCACATGGATGTTCATAGCAGTATTAGTCACAATCACCGAAAAGGTGGAAAAACCCAAATGTCCATTAACTGATGAATGAATAAACAGAACAGGGCATATACGTGACGCAGAATATTATTCAGCCATAAAAAGGAATGAAGTATTGATACACATCACAACATGAGCCTCAGAAACATTATGCTGAGTGAAAGAAGCCAGACACAAAAGGACACATATTATAAGATTCCATTTTTTTTTTTTTTTTTTTTTTTGAGGGGGAGAGCAAGGGGGGGGGGGGGGGGGGGCAGAGGGAGAAAGAGAGAATCTCAAGCAGGCTCGACGCCCAGCTTGGAGCCAGTGCAGGGTTCCATACCACCACCCGAAAATACAATCAGAGCAGAGAATCAAGAGTCAAACAAAACAAAACAAAACAAACAAAAACCAAAAAATCCTAAAGAGTGAGCCACCCAGGTGTCCCTATATGATTCTATTTATGTGAATCAAGAATAGGTAAAACTAGAGAGACAGAAAGTAGATAAGCAACTGCCAGGGCAGAGGGGAGAGGGAAGGAAAGAATGGGGGTGAGTTTGCTTAATGGGTACGGTGTTTCCTTTGGGGATGATAAAAATGGCTTGGAACTAGACAGATATTCTCCAACAGTGTGAATTGTGTAAATGCCATTTGTGTAAAAATGGGGGAAAATACATATGCATGTTTGCTTGAATGAACACAAAACATCTCTGAAAGGCTTGTTAGAAACTTTGGATGTGTCGGGACAGTGAACTGGGAGGTGTAGGATGGGAAAGAGCGATTTTTCGGAATATCTGGCTTCAGGAATGTTTCTATCCGGGTTGCCACCCCTTCGCTCTCCTTCAGGTGGGCCCTGGAGACCTCCACTCCAACAATGCAGCAACTCCAGCAGAACTAAGGTTCCGGTGGCCCAACTGGTTCACCAAAATCCCAGGGACTCAGTGGCACGGTCCCCCTGCCTCCCTCTCCCTCCCTGAACCAATCAGGTTTTCCCAGGGAGGTGTGGCCAGCACTAGAAGGGGGTGGTGTCAGCCCCTCCGACTCTCATTGTACCTGCGGTGGTTAAAAAGTTACATATTCACGGAAAAACTGGAAAACTGGAACCACGGAAGGGAGAAAAGATGCCAGCGGGGAAAAGGCGGGATTCTAGAAATCCCATGCCTCATGTCTGGAAATATGCCCCCTACCATTCCCCTAATCAAGGAAGCGAAGGCCCAGCTGGAGCTCAAGGCCGTCCAACCCAGGGGCTGGGCGTTGCCTTCAGATGAGCGGTTTGAGTCTCTGGAAGTTGTCACTTCTGGTATTGAAGGATGAGAGGTAAGTTAACATCGACTATCTCACGTCTACAGCCTAATCACTTTTACACTTTTTCCTCTTCTCCCTTTGCTTGTATCCCAGAAACTTACAATGTTTCTCCGTCCACGGTCCCCCCCACCCCCACTCCACCTCTGCACCAGGAAAAATTTGCAATCTCTCTGCCTTCCTGGTGAAGAACTTTCCATCCAGTTTTGCACACTTTGTGCCTGGGGGATTGAGAGGGACCACTTGGTGTGTCATCGACCCAGTCAGGCCAGGGTTGAAAAGGGCTGGACACATGAGGGGAGGGGATGATGCAAGGAAGAGAGTGAAGGCAGAATGAGGGAAGGCGGAGGGGGAGACATTGGGGAGTGAGGATGGTCCTGAGGAACGAGGGGGATGCCTCCCAACCAAATCATCACCACACACACCCCCCAGCTGGGAAACATTTTGTCCACCAAAGTGCATTTATGAAGCAATTACCCACCAGCTGTCCCATTTTCTCATTCATCCAAAAACAAACAAACAAACAAACAAACACTTTTTTAATTGAGCCCCTGCTGTATGCTTTGCACTCACTGGGATCTCAGAACAGCTCTGGTACAGAGGAGGAAAACAGGCTTGTCACTTGGTCACAGAGGCAGGATTCGAACCCGAGCCCACCGGATTCCCAAACTCACAGATGGGTTTCCTCAAGATGGATGTGACAATAAGGTGGTGGGGGAGGGGGTCCAGGAAGGCCCTCCATGCTACTCCAGGGAAGACCTTGGAGCTGAGGTCTGCCATGGCTGGGGTGGCTTTGTTCATGGACCGTCTCTCCTGAGTTGGCTCTCAACACTGGGAGTGGGAGGGGTGTCTGGCTAACTTCTTAGCACAAATTGCCCTTTAGAACCTGGAGCTCACTGTGGATTTTGAAGCTTAAAAACATTCCATCTCTCCTGGATCTCTAAGGAGTGGAATGTGGGGGCCGGGGGAAGTTAGAGGAGAGAGGAGCTCTGTGAGAATGGAGCTGTGGTCTCAGAAGGGAAGGGGGGAGCCCAGTGCTTGCACGGGATAAAGGGCCAGGCCTGCCAGAGTCATTTGGCTCATCTGTATGGCAGCAATGCCAACACCTGGGGGTTGCAAGGGTGTCTCGTGCACTGTTGTCTGGGATAGAGTTAGCGTGCAAACGGAGGGTGTCCAGCAGCTCCAGAAGTCCAGCCATATCTAGGGATGCTGCCCGGGGGGCTGGGCCTATCTGGTTAAGGGCAGACATGAAGCCCTAAGGGGTGCAGTTCCGGCCCTCAGTAAGAAGTTCCTGAGAGCTGGAGTGGGTTGTCATGGGGATTACGCTGACAGTCTCTATGGCGATAGTTTGGTGGGGCGGGGCCCTGCTGACCTGGGAAAGCCTAGAGGGAAAGGTGTTTTGTGACCTCAGACACCAGAGTTTGGTCTCCATGGGAACAGCTATGGGGTTTCAGCAGCTTGGAGGCAGAGTTTGGAGAGTGGCAAGGAGCTGGGGTGCACTGGGGCAGCCTGTTCCCATGGTGAGAGCTGGAGAACTGAATGTTGGGTCACTCTCGGGACAGTTGGGGGAGGAAATGGTCTTCAGGGCTGTTGGTAAGAATGGGGACATTCAGAAGTAGAGTTGTAGCTCTCTGGAATCCCGGAGGTGAGATGGGAAACGTGTGGTATCCATGGTTACAGCTGGAGGAGGCAGGCTCTAGCTCCATGGGTGTGACTGATGAGGGAAGGGCTGTATGACTAGGTTACAGGTAGAAGTTGGACTGGTCGCCTTGGTAACAATGGGAAGTGGGACAGCTCGTCTCCATAGTCAGTGACATGGATCCTATGGATCCCTGGGCCCAGGGGATGGTCTCTTTGTTGACAGTTGGGAAAGAGGCCGTCCATCAGATGGGAGTGGGTTTTCTCCCTCCAAAGAGATACCTGAGGGCTGGGGCACGGCCACCAGTCATGCGAGCCAGCTGGGGCATATCATTCTGTTTTAGTGGTGACAGACAAGGCTTGTCTCCCCTGAAACTGGAAGGGTGGGGGTGTTCAGGGTGACCTGGGAACATGGCCTGTTAATCGGCAAACTTCAAGGGATTCACAGGGGAAGGCAGCAGAATGGGAATACCCAATTTCCAGGTCACCACAGGGTAGAGGACAGAAGCCCAGTTTCCATGTGACCACTGGGCGTGATCACCTGGTGAACTCCGAGGTTTCTCTACGTGTGAGGGGGAGGAGGGTTCAGGGTCCAGATGACCATAAGGGAACAGTCTTCAGTCTCCAGGGAGATGCGGAGGGCCTGAGGCCACTCTCCAGATAATCCTGGGGGTCCAGCCTCCAGGAGACCGCGAAGGGGGGGTAGTTCTGTTTTCAAGTAACCTCGGGAGGCGTGGCCAATCTTCAGGAGACCTCAAGGTTTCTTGGCCTCCAGGGGTCTTCAGGGGACATAGCCCATCTCCTGGGGAAGTCGAGGGAGGAGGGAGATCCACTGTCCAGGAGAGGTGGGGGCTTGATCAGTCTCCCGGAACTGGCAGTCTATGAGGACCCCAGGAAGGGCAGCCAGGGGTCAAAGACCCCAGAAGACCTGGTCAGCCTGCAGGGTACCGCAGGAGGCGTGGCCAGTCTCCAGTCACGTGGTCTGTTTCCAAGAGACCGCAGAGCGCTCGGCCAGCCGCCAAGCACCCAAACCAACTGCGCCCAGGGCCTAGACGCGCAGCGGGGTCCAAGCGGCCGGGTCGCGCGCGCCTCCGGCCCAGCCGCCGCCTCCGGCCCAGCCCCAGCCCCAGCCGCCGGGTGCGGGGTCCGGCGCGCCGGGTGCACGGTAGCAGTAGACGCCAAAGAGCCGGCGCGTGGCGTCGGGGAAGCCCAGGCTGCGAACGCCCGGCCGGCGGCCGCCGCAGCGCGCGCGCGGATTCACGATGGGGTAGCGCGCGCTCCCGTCGGCCAGCCAGCCCGCGGTGCAGCGGTCCAGCAGCTGCAGCTTCCACGCAGCGAACAGCTGTCCCACCTTGGCCACGGCCGCGCCGCGCGCCGCGCACGCACGCGCTGCTCCCGAGAAGGGCACAGGCCGCAGCGGCTTCAGGAAGAACACACGTCCTGCAGTGGAGTGGGGGAGAGTGGTTAAGGCCACTCCCGAGATCTGGCCTCCTCCGGGTTCAGAACGCTTCCCACCCCCCACGTGCCTGCCACCCAGGACCCCAGCCACAGGATTGAGGAACACCCTTTCTCCTGCAGCCCTGGACCCCAGCCGTGTCCTGGGTAGTGTTGGTGCCAGGCGATGCGTGATTGCTGCGCCATGGCAGTCCGGGGGTGGGATATCCTGGTCTGGACCTCCGAGGACCAGAGTAGATAGACGGGCTAAGAGGAGGAAACTGAGAAGGTGGGAAAGAGACTGAGAGGGAGGGGGACTGGGGAGAGGGTTCTATGGGGGCGGGGCCTCACCGGCGGGGCAGACCCCGAGCCTGTGGAGGGCGGGGTCTCCTTCCTAGGGGCGGGGCCTACACACCCGGGAGGTTGGACGTGAAGCAGAAGGCGTCGTAGCGTTCTTCGGCATTGTGGCGGTAGCCGTAGTTGCGCACCCCCCCGGAGGCGGTGTCGCCGCGGGTCCCGGCGCTCCCGGCTCCGCCCAGGCCGCCGCAGGGCTCCCGGGGCTGGCTCACCGGGTACTGCACGGACCCGTCGCGCAGCCAGCCTGCGTTGCACCAGTCCAGGCCGTCGCGCCAGGCCGCGTGCAGCTGCTCTGCCGACGCCAGGATGCCGTCCTGCTCAGCGCAGGCGCGCTGCGCTTCCGTGAAGGTCATCTTGTAGCGGCCTCCACGGGGGTGGTAAGGGAAGACAACTCCTAGGAGGACGTACGTAGGGGGTTCAGCTGGGGAATCTCAGCCCACCCCTACCCACCTAACATTTGGGGTGCTGCGTGACTCTTCAACCTAGGCTTTCCACTCCATCCCTCACTCTGGCCGTAGACCTGACCACGCTATTCGCAACCTCACAACCCCTTGTGATTCCCTTTGCCTTAAGTCTGGGATTCATTTGACCTTCCCTCTTAAGATACTTAATCTTATCCATTCCCTTTCCACCACGGGAGATCTGTTTATGTACTTTCCATTTATTCTATCTGCTGAACTCCTATTCATCCTTCAAAACCCAGCCCCCACAACCCTTCTCCCTTCAGTCTTCACTGCTTCTGACATTCCCCCAGCACTGGGAGCTTCACGCTGGTCAAGCCCTGAGCTGATGGAGCTGGGAATGTATGTGTCCAGTGCTGACTCCTCCACAGGGAGCCCCTGAAAGTATGACCTTGGGCAAAGACCTCTTTGATCCCCAGCATTGTCCAGGGCAGTTCCCACTGGTTTCTCTTCCACCTTCAGTTCTTATAACTTGCCCTCATTGGACCCGCAGTCAACTCACTTCAACAGCATTGTGTGTGTGTGTGCTTGAGTGGCAGACCTTGGAGGGGCAGATGGATCTTTCAGGAGACAGAGGGAGGAGCAAACGGGCCAAGTGAACACCTGGAGCCTGAAGACCGAAGCTTGAGTCCTAACTACGTCGCTCACATGTACCTCAAGCAAGGTCTAACCTCTCTGAGCCTGTTGCTCATCTGCTGGTAATAGCATCTCCCTCAAAGTTTTTGGGAAAATTAAACAGATTCGTTTACTTTGAACAATAAGGAAACCTGCTGCTATTATTGCTGTTATTTGCTATTGTTGGGAGGTACAGCAGGTGAGGGCTCTGAAATATCTTCTAGAATCTTCTCATATGGACTGAGGAAGGCAAAAAACAAGTGGGAGAGAATTTTTCAGGTAGAAACCCCACCTCCCAGGTCCATAGTCAGCCAATCAGAGCATCCCATCTCCCAGTCACAGTAATTGGTTTATGGATGGGCACATGACTCAACCTGGGCCAATGAGGGACAACTCTGGGACTCCAGTTAGCACTGCGAGGAAATTTATTGCTAAGTTGGAGGATGGAAGCCTGGCACTACTTTTTGGATCCATCAGGGGAAACCTGCCTGAAGAAAGCCCACTTAGGGAAAGAGAACTGAGGGAGGAATTCCTGACATGGTATGAGTGGATGTCCCTGGATCTCAGCCCCAAGGGTTTCCCAAAGTCCTTACTATTGACATTTTAGACTGGTTCCTTCTTTGCTGTGGAGCGCTGTTCTGTGCATGGTAGGATGTACTGCAGCCTCCCTGCCCTCTGCCCACTAGATGCCATCAGCAACCCATTTCTAGACATAGCCAGTGTCCTTGGAGAGCAAATTCACCTCAGATCAGAACCATTACCCTACCCTACCAAGCCTCAAATTCTTTCAGGCCAACTTGATTTGGTTTCTGTCCTTTGCAATATTTCCCCCTCTTCTCTCTTAAAAACATGCTTTATTCCGTCCACAAGCTGGTTACCTTCCAGGTCTAGCTTGACCATGCCAGTGTCATCCTCCAGCTCATTGGTGACCTCGCATTCATAGCGCCCATAATCCTGCAGCGTAACGTTTCGGAGAACCAGGGAGGCATCCCCAGGTCCGTCGCCCTGCAGCTCGGCACGCCCACGGTAGCTGCCAAATGCTCGGTGCTGGGGGCCCAGGGCCACGAAGACGTCAGCAAAGGCCAGTGGGTCCACCACCTTGGTCCACTTGAGACGGACGCCGTCGTGGTCGTGGGCAGCTGCCTCATAGTGGTAGCGGCAGGGCAGGACGATGGTGCCACCCCTGTGACTGACCACCTGCCCAGGCGCCGTCTGCACCACCACCGAGCCAGACTCACCCTCTGCGGGAGGGCCAAGCAGGGTTCAGAAGAGGTCCCAGGGGGCGGGGTGAGGAACCGGGGGAAGGGGATTCCATGAAAGTGTTGTGCGAAGAAGGCTTGGGCGCAGGTCAGGGGATCGTAAGGTTAAAGGAGATCAGGAAAGGGAACTGCGACTCAGAGGGGGAGGGGCGAGGGTGGGGTACTGTGACCGCTAGGAAGGCTCCATGCCCTACCCCCTATATCCTCCCTGCATCCAGGCAATCACATTCGGCCACTGCTCCTGCGGGGCAAGACCGGCTTCCGCTATCCAGACTCACCCAGCACGTGCACGACCTTCTTGCGTCCGCGCTGCGCCCCTGCGGGGGCCGTGAGCAGCAGGACTCCCCAGGCCGCTGCCCAGAGCGCGCCGCGACCGAGGGCCGCCCGAGCACACACCTGGGGGCACAGGGTACTCAGTCCAGCCTCCTGGACTTTGCCTGTCGTAGGAATAGCCCCCTGACCTTTCTTCCTCACGGCCAGGACTTCTCGCATGCCCAGGTCCCCACCCAAGCCAGGGTCCCAGGGGACTCTCTCAAGGAGAAGGCTAGCAGACCCTCCCAGCCCTCACCCCTTGTCCCCCGCACTCTCCCCGGACTTCACACTCCAGCTCCTACGCAAAGCCCACGCCCCTGGGCTCACCTGCGCTCAGTCCAGCGCCAGCAACCCGCCAGATCCCGTAACCCCAACACCGGCCGCTCGGAGCTCCGCCCCCTTCTCAGGCCGTCCCTGGCCGGGATCCGGAGGGAGGGGGGAGGAGCTGGAGCCGCGGCCGCGGCAAGGTTATCCGTGCGCCAGGAGACTGCAGCAAACCGGCCGGCCGGGGTGTGCGGGCGGCGTGGGGAGGCGGTGGGACGCGAGGGTTAGGGCCACAGAGATGTAGAGACACGGGGAGAGGGCGAGGAAAGGGAAAGAGACAGAAAACCAGGGAGAGATGGGGGTGGAGAGGTAGAGACTCAGAGAAGGGTATGGAAAGATGGAGAGACAGACTGAAAGGGAGAGAGCAAGAGGGAAAAAAGGAAGAAGAGGGGGCTTGGAGGTAGGGAGAGACGGAGACTCAGAGGAAAAGAAAAGGGACCAGGAAGACAAAAAGAGGGAGAGAAAAGTAGGGAGAGGCAGAGAGGGATATAAAATGAGAGGCAGAGTTCGAGAAACAGATACAAGAGGGTGAGAGAAGGAAGGGATGGGAGAGACAGAGCGGAGAGAGACTGAGAAGAGGAACCCGGAGGGACGTAGATTAAGACACGGAGCGAGACAGAATCCCAGAGAGGGACCTACACGGACCCGCGCCCGCGCCCCACTCACCATCTTGCCGGTGCGGCCCCCGCCGAGCGGCCCCTACGCGCCGGGACTGCGCTCCCCGCACACGCAGGAAGGACTGGGCCAGTTCCTTCGGGCGGCGCAATCCCGGAGTCTGCCTGCAAGGGGAGGAGGGAGGCGGATGGGGGTACGGGGAGGAGCTTTAAAGGCGACGCGGCGACGCGCGCTCGGCGAAGAAACCCAGGCGCGGGCGGAGGACGGACCGCACTGGACAGTGAATGCAGGACCACGTCGCTGATTCTGCTGGCTGATCTTGGGCGGCCAGAGGAACCTCGGGGCGTCAGTTTAACTCTCTTTAAGATGGAGGAGGGGGGCCCTGACGGTCTTCCATCTAGGATGCCCACGGTGAGCCAGAGGTCTGAGTAACCTGGGAAAGGGGCTTGGCTTGCACGTCACAGTTTTCCCATTTGTCACTTGATGGCCATCGCCGTGTCCTGGGCTCTGATACCCAAAGGTGCTCACTCTGTGGGGTGGGGCCCCACAATTGTCACACACTCTGCAGAGGGAACCTGCAGCAACAAGTCCAAATCTGACTGTGCCTTTCACCTGCTGCAGGACCTTAGAAGAGAGGCTTGGTCTCTCTGAGCCTCAGTTTCTACCTCTGGGAAATGGAGTGCTGGTTCCTTGGTGAAGATCCAATGGTTAGACATACGATAGGGGCCTAATAAATGTCAGTAGGAGCGGGAGCAGGGGAGACTGATCAAGCCCCTGACCCACTCTGCGGCCACTCTGCGGCTGAGTTATGCCCAAACCTGGCCCTTCACTCAAGTTCAAAAATCCAATCAGGAAAAAAATGTGCCTTTCTCCCAACCCCTTGGCAGCTTCCTCAGCCTCGGTTTCCCCAAAATATGAGCCAACCATACAATAGAGGCAGGGTTATAGGGCCCATGGTTGGATAGGCTAGACTGGCACCGGGTCCTTGAGCTCAGATGCATCTAGGAGCCATGACCTCCAACCAGGACCTTGACTGCCTACAGGCTCAGTCTCCCCATCTGGAATATAGGGTGAGATCCAGCATGTAGCACTTGAGTTTGGCCCTTGGTGATGGTATATGGTAGGTGCTTAATAACTGGGCCACGCCATCATTTATTATAATTTATTGTCAGAGCTTGGATTTGGGATGTTTTTCTCCTGATCGTGACCTCAGACAGGTCTTTGGACCTCTCTGAGCCTCTGTTTTTCCCATCTGGAAGATGGAGCTATACACACCAACCAGAGGCAGACTTCTGCTAGCCAGTACCTCCAGCTCTGATGGTCATGCTGGCAGTGATGGTAGGCCCCCAGAGAAGCAATCCCTCACCTATGAATCCTGAAACACTCAAGCAGCAGCAATACTGGGGCTTTAAAAGTTTTGTGGTTTTTTGTTTTTTTGTTTTTTTTTTACTAAAAGGATCCATGTGAGTATGACAGGTAAACTCTGGAGTAGAGCAGTCTGTGTGGGATTGGAATACCGTGACAGCTGAGGGTCCCGGGGTGTCCCACCCCATGCGCTGGGCTTATACCACCATAGCCAGGACCAAAGACACCTGGAGATATACTTCCTGACTCTAAGAGACCCAGCCCACCCTTCCCGGGGCAGGGCTCTTTGGGCATGAAAACAGTCGTAGGGAGTCCCCAGCTCTCTCAGTCCTCCTTCTTGTGGTGGGCCAGGGGACCAGGGGGCGGGTGCAGGAAGAAGGCAGGCCGCCACAGGCAGCGGAAGGCCAGCAGCTGGGGACCCAGCGCATACAGCAGGTTGCTCCCGAAGAAGCAGGCCCAGGCGTCATCAGGCACGCGGTAGGTGAAGGGTGTGCGCACGTGCATCGAGGCCCCCATGTGCGAGAACTGTGCCTAGTGGCCACACAAGGAGGTATAGGTCAGGGGTCAGGAAGAACAAGGCCCAGCATCCCTAATATCCCACCCTAGGGAGCCCAGAGGGTCCCTGTCCCTATCACTGGCTGCTGACCTGTCTCCCCTCTCTAGTCCATCTGTCTGCCTCTAAATAACGCTGTCGCCACATTTCCTATGCCCTTGTCTATCTGTCCGTGAGCCTCTTCCCAGCTGTCTAACTGGAACTATCTTTACTCTTTCTGTGGGGCCCGCCCTGTTTCCCATCTCCTTGATGTGGGTCCAGCTTCTCCTCCTGCTCTTCCCTACCCTAGGTAGCCTCTTGTGCCTCTGACTCTCTCTCGGCGTTGTGGCTGTGCTAAACCACCATTCCCTTCTGTGTCTTTATGCTGTTCCCATTCCTGCAATGCTCTTCCTTGCCTAGAGAACTCATACCCATACATCAAAACCCAGCTCCTAGGCTCACTCTTCTAGGCAATCTTCCCCTTCTGCAATTGCTCTCAGCCCCTAGTCTTGCCTCTCCCAAGTTCTGACCTCACGGGGTTGGGAGTGTTAGTGTTAGGTCCTTTCTCCCCGAGACCAGGGAATTCTAAGGTACGAAGCTGGGACTGGGGCCCCTTAGAGGCTCAGCAACCCCCCTGCCCAGGGAGAGCATGAAAGGAAACTGATGGGGAGGCAGAAACTTTCTTCCCTACAGACCCCACCCCTCTGCCCCCACATCCCGCCATACCTGGCCAACAGCTCCAGCAAACACCAAGGCCCAGTCAGGCAGCCAAGAACAGCCAGGGAAGATGAGGCCGTAGGCAGCCAGGCCATAGAAGGGCAGCACGTAAAACATGTACACCAGCATCTGAGGGGGACACAACCCATAGGATGAGCAGTAGCTGCCTCCCTGAGCCCCCTGAGGCGGAGGCCCCCAGGGAGGATCCGGCCAGCCTCAGACCCTGCCCAGGATTGCGGGGGCGGGGGGCTCTCTGAACATCGCAACCCTGTGCACAATGCTCCTCAATTTCCCTCGACCCACCCCCACCCCTGGCCACATGCACACACACACACTGAGCCCACCCATGTTACTCCAGAAGTGGCATATGACCCAGGCCTGGCCAACTGGACCACTCCAGGCCAACTGGACCACTCCAGGCCCGCTGGCCATAATGATCAGCGAAAGGATGCACCTGTTATTCAGTGATGATGGCCCAAGGGCCAATCAGAGCCTGTCTGAGGTTTGTGCTTAAGCTCTGGAGAAATAATTGCTCACATTCCTCTGGGGTGGCTAAGTAGGGCAGCTGGAGGCCTGCTGCTGCCCAAGGCTGTCTCTGCAATCCCACAAAGTGACTACCTGGGAGTGGAGTCCATGCAAAGAAAACAGAGCCCCGAGACAGAGTTATCCTCGGCACCTAGATCCAGCCATACTTGAAGACCATATCTGCCTTCATTAGAAGACAGACATTTTTGGGAGGACAACAGATTGACTTTTGTGTTTCTGGTACCTGCTTCCAAGAGGGCTTGCTAGGCCTCTACCCCTTGCAGAACCATATGGTCCTCTCTTCCCATCTGTCCTCTCACCTGCACCTTCGGATAGGCCACAGGGTCCCGTAGGTATGGCTCATACTGATAGATGTAGACAAAGCACGCATCTGTGGGGCAGTCAAGCACCACCTGGGGCAGACAGACAAACCAACAACCCACCTCAAAATTTTTCCCACAAAAAGCCTTCTCCACCCTCCCATGTGGGTCCCCTACCCCTTGCTCTGGCCTCCCCTAGCCTTGGTTCTTTCACTTTGGCTAGGAAGGTTATAGGGAATGGGGCTTTGTCATGGACAGACACGGATCAGACTGGATGAAGAACTTCCCGGATGATCAGACAGGCGAGCAGTGGCCTTTTCGCTTTGGTTAAAGGAAGATGATTGGTGGGGACAGGAAAGGGAGCTGCGGCAGAAGAAAAGTAGGCTGACCACTGCAGACTCACCAGGCCCCGAAAGAGGGTGAAGAACCCGGCGAGGGTGAGGTATATGACAAGGGCCAAGTCTACTGGACGTCGCAGGATACCCTTGCTTTGTTCCTCCTGTACCTGTCCCATGGGAGAGAGACAGCGTGAGAAGTCTGGTATCCAACAGGCACTTGATAAAGGCTCATCCCTTCTTTCCTAATGGCCAAGGAGATCCTTCCAAAGAGTTAATGTTTTTGACCAGAAGCAATTCTAATGGGGGTCAGGGGGAGCATTCAGGCATGTTGGCACAACGAACTGTCCGGGGGCAAGGTACTTACCACATTGGGGGCACAGCAGTTTGGTGCCTGGGCCTGGTTGAAGACCCTCACGCCAGCCCAGCATGGGACTAGCACGTAGGGAATGGCAAGGAAGAAGGCAGGTCTGATCTCTGAGCTATATTTACCTGTCATGGTAGGAAAAAAGGGGTGTCACTCAGGGAGGATCCCCCAGGCCTGGCCAGACCCATAGGTGAGTCACACCAGAATCCCTGGTTGGAAGCAGTAATTCATAAATGCAGTCCTTTTTCAAGCTCCAACACCTCTGGCTCCCCAGTGCTCATCAGATGGTGTCCAGACCCCTCAGCCTGGCCTGACTCAATTTATTTTCTGGATATGGCTTCTTTCTCTCAGCTGTTCTTTTCTTCTCCTGAATACATCTTGTGTATCTCTCTAGCTCAGCCATCCCCACATACTGGGCTGCCTCTCCCCTCTACTTCCCAAGACCTACCTATGAACCTTCTAGGCGCAGGACAGTAACCCAGCCTGAGGAGGCGGGATCCTTCAAAGCCAAGTCCTTACCAAGGATGTTTCCTGGGAGGAACACCAAGACGCTCATGACGAAAGATCCCAGCCAGTACAGTCCAAGGTTCCTGTATCTCTTCCTGCGGTGGAGTATGGAGGGGTGACCAACAGATGCCTGTTCCTGTCTCAGAGCCCTAGCCAGGGCCCAGGATCCAACCTTGGCTCCCCAGCTCTGGGTATCTCCCATTTTTGTCCAGGACAGAAGGGACAACAGGGAGGTGAATGAGGGACTGAACAGATTGTCTGTCTAAGGACACAAATGGTTGCTTAGGCACAGGAGCGTACAAGAGAAGAGAGCTGACTACCACTTACACCTTGGCATTCTGGAACCTTCTCCGGGTTACTCCTGGCTGGAGCCCTAGAGAGGACTCATGATTTGCCCTACAGACACTGCTGACTGCACCCAAACTTGGGACCCCACCTGAGGACTTGATCTCCAGGGTCCAGGTGCCACACACCCCCTCCCCGCCAAACTCTAACCCTGCCCCATGCACCTTCTGCGGATGGCACCAGCCATGGCCAAGTAGAGGAGGTAGTGAACCGTGCCGTCCCAGTAGCAGATGAAGACTCCGTGTGCGGTGCGCAAATAAGGCTCTCCCTGCCAGGGCAGATCAGGGCTCAGCTGGGCCGCAGGGCAGGAGGCAACCCGGGCGACCCCTACGTACCTCCTTAGTAAAGAATTCCATGAAGCTCCCCGCGTAGCCATCTTCCTGGAGAGCAATGAGGAGATCCACCACCGAGGTGAAGGAGAAGACAGTGAACACTGCGGGGAGAGTGGGCAGAACCTGTCCCGGATGTGGGCGGGGCCTGAGGCCGCTAAGTCTGGGACCCAGAGTCGAGGCAAGGAACCACACCCAATTGCTCCCAGTTGCCTCTTCACAGGTCACATGACCCACAGCCCTGTTGAGGAGGCACAGTCCTGCCTTTGGGAGGCCTCAGGCTGAGAAGGCACTGACCCTACCCTGAGGAAATCCCAAAGTGATGAGGAAGTATGGTCTTTCAGGGGCTCCCAGTCTGATGGGAAGAGACAGTCCTGCTCTCAGGAGCCCCAGTCTGAAGGGGAAGGCCCTCTGAGGTTCCCCAACCAATGTGGTTTCTCCAGTGTCTTTGAGGTTCTGCAGCCTGATGGGAGCCCTTCAAGGGGATTGAGGAGGCCCCTGCTCACACAGTTCTCTCTGACTGACTCACCAGCATAGAGTGGGTCATAGTAGATCTCGCCGGGGGACAAACTGTAGATAGCCACAAAAAGCAGGCCCAGGATCAGGGCACTCATCAATGCCAGCCCCAGGGGGCTGTGGAGAGGGAAAACAAGTCAGAGAGGCCAGGCTCAATGCTGAGGCCCACCCACCCTGGTGAGGGTAAAAGCAGATTCCAGGATGCTCCAGATGTCGAGACTGAGGTGTCTTTCCATCCAGGAATCTCATTCCCTGCAACTGCTCTTTTCCATCACTGGGCTGTTACCTGAGCTGTTTCTCTCTCCTGGGACCTCCTTCTAGAAGTCTCTTCCACTTGGCAAACTCCTACTCTTACTCTGTGGCCTATCTTTCATGGCTTCTCCTCCAGGAAGCCCTCCCTGACTCCTTAGAAAGAATCATTGCCCTACTTGGGCCAAGTACAGAGAGGGCATCAGTCAACTCTTTCTGACTATACAACCCATCCCGTGTTCAACTCAATTTGCTCTCAGTCATTCAACACTGCCAAGCCCCTCTGTAGCCAGACCCACCTCCCAAGCCTGCAAGGTCTCTAGTGCTCAGCCCTATATACTTCACTTTCTGAAGCTCCTGACTCCTCCCAGCTGAAGTTCAAATGCTTCTGTCAACCACACCCTACCCCTGCCCTGATCTGTCCCATCAACCAGATAAGACAGGTCAACCAGTTGCATAGATAAGAAATAGAAGTCAGGTTGGAAGCCTCCAAAAACAGGTGGGCAGAGTAGGTGGGTGGGAAAGCCATCCAGGGTCCCACACTCCCCTACACGTTCTCCAGGCTCCTACCTTCTCATGGACCCCTCTGACACCTAAGATTCCCATCCTGGTCCCATCTGACCAACAATGACAATTATAGTAATCAGATAAGACCATATAAGTCTTTGCACACAATTTATAATCCTTAACTCTACCTATGAGCCAAGGTCGAGGATTCTGTTCATTATACGTTGAAGAAAGGCTCCCAGAAGCAACGTGACTCACCCAGGATCCAGGGGGAATGGAGCCAAGAATTTGTACCCAAGGAGCCAACCCCACAGTCAAGACTCTCTCTACCCCATGTCTTGAGTGGAGCTAGGTCTGGGAGTATGAGGGGCCTATAGATGCCCAGTACCCAGTGGCAGGATCCACAGGACTGGGGTCTAGGGTTAGGAAGCAAGGGAGGTCACAGCATGTAGGCGAAACTGAGACTAAAGACAGGGTGGGCCAAACCTTAGCAGAATAAAGTCTCAGGCCTGAGACAGGCAATGGAGGGGCTATCTGCTAGGGGTGGTAGAACAGAACGCGAGTCCGAGTGTGCCTGTGTCAAGAGCTGGGTCATCAGGCCCTTATCTGGGACGATACTTTGACCTTTGGTAACTTTGGAGCTGGGCACATCCCTGGGAAACTCCAGAAACCCTCCAAAACTCTGTCCTGTGTGGGGGGGGGGGGGGGCTCTCCTTCTCAACCTTTCTCCTCAAATCCTAAACGTCCCCGGAGCGACCCCACCCCCACCACACAGCCCCCTGGCCGGCAGAGAGGGAACTTCAGGTTGCATGGGGCTGGGGTTGTTTCGGCCTAGGTCCCTTCCTCCCAGCGGGAGCTGCGCAGGGGCTCCGGGCTCCGGGGATCCAGGCTTGCCGCCCGCGCAAGGTCCCTCCCAGCCACTGCCAATCCGGCCCCACAGCCCGGCCCCCCTCCCCGGGGCTGGCCTGGCCCCTCCCCTCACGCACTGCGAGAGCGCCGAGACGTGGTTAATCGCGTAGGACAAGGGGAGGGCGCCGAGCGACAGAGCCGCGGTCTTGCCGGCCAGCGGCAGGATGTCCATAGTGGCGGCAGCCGGACCCCGGCTCGGTCGCCGCGCGGCCTCCAGGGCGCTCGAATCTTCTGCGGCCGCGCGTCTGGGTTCGGGGGTTGCCAGGGCCCCAGTCCGGCCCCGCCCCACCCCGCCCTGCGCAAAGGTCGCCCCCAGCTGCGCCTTGGTCCCGCCGCCTAGCCTAGCCGTGACTGTGCCCTGCGCTCCCGGGAAGCCTCCGAGGCCCGTCCCCCCTGGAAGCGGTCCCTTTCCCCAGCCCTCCCCTCCCCGCGTCACCGTCACCGGACTCAGCGCGGTTTCAGTGGCCTTCCCTGCGGCCCAGCCTCGGCTTCACTATTAAAATCTAAAACTCCGTGTTGCCCGACGCTTCCGCTCTTGAGGCGCGGGACTGCAACCTGGAGGCCCTGGGCCAGATATTTCAAGCTAGGGGAATTTGTTCTCCAGGCCTCCTTCTGTACTTCTGCTTTCTCCGTGCTAAGCCACCTGTGTACCTACCTCGACTCTGAAGGGGACCCTTTTAAATGCCACATTCCCGAGACCTTCCTCCCCCTAGGATGAAGGGGACATTGGAGGCATTCTGCGCGGATGGAGGAACCTCAGTCGCTTGGACACAAAGAGTTCCCTTCAGGTCCCTTGGATTTGAGTGTTCAGGCAGTGGCCACACACATTTAAACACGTGGCCGGGTGTAAAGCTTTGACTGGGTCTGGGAATCATCTCAAGGCAGGCAGCCAAGGTCATGGTTGGTGGGGGGGGGTTCTCTTGAAGGACTGTGTGCTGTGTTCCTTCCATATAGCCTGGGCACCTTGTGGGCAGCTGAAGCTGTGCCCCTGCTCGTTGGGTGGTGTCCAAGGGAGGGAGTCTAAAGGGTGGGCTTAGATTAGGCGTGGATTGCTAGTTTGGTGAGTTTGGAACTGTGTCTGGCAGGGAGTCTAGTGAGCTCAGGCCTGAGGCTGAGATGTGGTGAGGGGGCTCAGAGGGTCAGAGTGGGAGAGTGAGGGAGGATTCTGAACAGCCTGCAGGAGGCTGGGCTGGGTCCACCAGAAGACGCAAATGGTATTTGTGGTGGTGGTGGTGGGGGGGTGGCACCAAGGAGGGAACTATAGTTGGGTGGGGAGAGAATAAGGAAGCAGCGGTTTCCAAGCAGCTTTGGACTCTCACCCATGTGGTACTTGTAGCTGCTGGAAAACAGTAAGCAGGTACCCACTCAGTACCTGCCCGTGGGGGGCCCACAGTCTGTAGGTGGGGAAGAGTCATCCTTTTTCCATGCATCTCCTTGTCCTTGTGCCAGCTGGGTCCTTTCTCTGAGCCTGGGCGACGAGATGATCTTCAGGCCACAGACCTGACAGTGTCCCACCCAGTTGTCCATTGCCCATGGGTTAAGTTCAGGTTTCTCTGGGCTGACCTGAGGCTCTAGTCTTGTTTCTTTGACTTTTCCCAACTCTAGCAGTGCCAACACTCCCCAGGCCTCTTTCTTGTCTGCAAAATGGATCCTCTAGTATTTCCTCACTCCTTAAAGCAGATCCCAATGTCCCCTCCTCCATGTAGCCCTCTCTGCCACCCCAGCTCCGCTCCACCTGCTGCAAGGCCAGGGGTGTCTGATCCAGCTGTCTAACAACCCGGCCTTGCATCTGTGTCTGGGATGTGCCTATACATGCACATTGAATTTGGGGGCCATTTTCCAACTTTCCACTTGCCTGGGGGTACAGTCCATGGGCTGAGTCTGGAGAGCCTCCAGGTCCCTAATTCAATTGAAGGGTGACCTTCACCTAGATGGCAAGGTGCCTGGGACCAAGGCCTAGGGTCCCCAACACTGGAACCTCTGGCTGCCCAGAGCTACTCTTGTGCTCAAGCCCTGGGACCACAGGACAGCTGGCACACATGGGAACGTCAACCCTTGCCTTGCTCTGGGCACAGCATCTACGGAGGGAACATAGAGTGGCATATGTCGTCCCAGCCTGGGCTCTGCTGCTGAGACTCGCAGTTCCTGGATGCCCCCGTTCCCCACACTGAGACACTCCCCAGGCTGCCGCCAAGATAGCAACCCAATTCCTCTTCACATTTATCAGTCTCAGGTTCACCACCACGGACACGATACGACAGACTGGCTGCCCCGGGGCACAGAGCCTATCCATCCGGTTCACACAGTTGGTGCTGCTTACTAAATGACTGTGAGGACGCAGACTGGCCCAGAAGCCCAACTCCAGCTGGAGTCTTCAAGCCCATGAGCCCACAGGGGTTGAGCAGGACCCACGAGGCACATGTGTGGGCAGATGGGTGGGTTGTGGGGATCCCTCAGGTCTCCAAGCCATACTTGAAGGGTGGCTCTCAGATTCCTAGGACTCCACCCAAGCTGCTCACTCAGCAGCTACAACTGACCCCAGGTGGTCTCGGCACAGATGTTCGGCTCAGGCTCTGGCGATGTGGGGAGTACTTGGTACGCTGCATCTGTCCACAGAGTTGTCCCCCAAAGGCATGAGCCCCAGGGACTCCCATGTCCACCCACTGAAAGGATCCAGGGCAGCTGGGGTGGCTTGGGCTACAGCTGTCGCAGACTAGCTTCAGGGCGGGGCTGTCAGCGCCACCTGCTGGTGAGGTGATTGGTACAGGTGTGTCCTGGGTCCAGCGGACCCGCAGATCTGAGGAGGGCTGGGCCCTGTCTGGGGACCCCTTCGACCCTAAGCCCCGCAGCACAGTGCCACGCTGGGAGGTCCCTGGTGCCCCTGGTCCAGGTGCAGCCAGGGCTTGGCTGGTCAGCCACCAGTCCCTCTCAGAGGACCTGTGGATCCTCCCCTCAACTCTAACCCAGGCTGTGGGTGGCTGAGGGGCCCATATTTTTCAGGCACTACGGAGCTTTCCCAGTGGCATCCCAGCCCCATCTGCCCAGCCCAGCCCCGCTGCTAAGGAAACAGAGGGGCTTCTGGTGATGGCAAAACCAGGCTTCCATGGTAGGCAAGCACTGGAACTTTAATACACGGCACGACACTTGAGACAATGGGAGGGGCAGGCAGAAATGCAGGCCAGAACATTCCACAGTCCAGGGATGGTCAGTCGTTTGGAAAATACATTTGTGTGTTTTTCCAGAATACTCAGTAGTAAGGCCGTCTGGGGTTGTTCTGTGGGAGGCAAAAAAGATAAGAAGGAGAGGGGGTCAATGCTAAAGACAGCAGTTTCTCCTGCCCAGAACATTCCAGGGACAGCTGAGCCCACATCCTCCAGAGCAGAGGGCAGGTGGGGGAGTCGCTAGTGAGACCTGGCCTAGTTGGGACTGTGAAAGGAGAGACAGCTCTGTCACCAGCAGCGCCGCCCCCTGCTGAGATTCTGGGCAGCCCAGCCAGGAGTCACACGGGGACTGGGGACACACGCACCAGGGGGTTGGGCCGGAAGCGGTAGGCCAGCATCATCCTCTTGCGGAAAGCCTCATACTCATCATCCTCCTTGGAGAGCTCAGCTGGCCGGTCGATGCCAAAGCCTGCTCCATCTACTGTGGTGGTGCCTCTGCAGGGGGGCAGGGGGATGACAGGGCCAAGTGAGCAGGCGGCCAGGCTGCTGGCAGCACGAGAAGCGGCAGGGGGTGCACTCACTTGTTCACCGGGTTCTTGATGCCCTGGCCCTCTGAGCCCAGCCCGTCGCCCTCCTTCCAGCCCATTTTCATCAGCATCTGGTAACCAATGTTCTCCACTGTCAGTTTGAACTCCTTGTACTCTGAGTAGTCAGGCTCTCGGCCTTCCTGCAGGGCAAGGAGGAACCTGTCATCCACCAGGGTCACAACTGTCGCAGGTCCCAGCCCTGGCCAGACCACCACCACGTCCCACCAGCAATGGCCTCACTGGCCGCTGGGACCTCCTGCTCTTCTGAAGCCTTTGTACCAGGTCAGATTCCTTGAGAACAGACCAAAATACTCCTTCTCAGGGTCCCCAGGGCCAGACTTTGTACCAAGCTGCCTAGTGGCCAAGTCAACAAGGGCAAGGAGACGGGTCACACAGGCCTCACCCACAACGGGAAAGATTAATGGTTCATCAGCAAAGAGAAGTCCTAGGTTCTGAGGGCAGTTCTTTACACAGAATGCTAAAAAGATGAGGTCAATAAGTTGTTGACGAGGTTATGCAGCACAAAACGGTTTTACAAAAATCCCCCAAAAGATGACAAGGGATGTGTCCCGTCAGGCAGACTCTCCTCATAAGCACAATGACAGCATGGGAGGAATGTGAATTCCTCTTCTGGAGAACCCAGTCCATGGGGCCTTCTGCCTGAGAAACGCTTTGCCTGTAAACTGCACTTAATTGGCTCCACTGAAAGCAGATTTTCCCGGAAGCCCTGGGAGATATTTCTAAAGCAGCAGCTGAGCTGCTTTCTGCTAATTCTCTCCACAGACGGTGTCTATCATCAACAGATGCCTCCTGAGGCAAGAGGGCCCAGCTCCCCCTGTGAATGAGGGGGGGCCTTGAGGCTGCCTCAGACGCCTGCCTCGTGAAGCTAACAGGAGGGGTTGGACCACTAGCCTGGCTGCCTGCCAGCCAGCCCATAGCCCCTGCTGGTGCCCGGGGACCCTCCCAGCTCACCTTCAGGGCCTTGAAGGTTTCCATGAACTTCTCCAGTTCATCTGGTGGCAGGAAGTCTCCGATAAAGTGCTTGCCGCGGCCCATCTTTGTCAGCTGCTCGGCCCACTCTGCCCAGAGAATCGGGGAAAGTGAGAGAAAGGAAGAGGCAGGGAGCGGGCTGGGTGGCCCCACAGCACTGATGTGAGTCTTGGGCGGGGGGCAGGGACTCAGGTCCCAGAGGAATGAGGTGGCTGGTTGAGGCCCCGACCCAAACCCTGCTCCTCCAGGGAGCCCTTCTAAGTGCCATGTTCAAACAGCACTGACGGCTTAGAGAATTCCTTTTTTCCACCAAGTAGAGGCAGAGAAGCTGAGTCTCTTGCTCCAGACTGTACAAGTTGCAAAGGCGGCTTAAGGCCCCAGGTGGTGCCTCCAGGTGCCTTCCCGGGCAGGCTTCCTGAGCCTGCGGTGCCGAGGGCACGGCCTCACCCAGAGA